CCATGCTTCCAAGGCTTACATAACATTAATGATTAATATTAGGGTTAGATGATTAGTGTTGCTTTGGGCAAACTTTTTCAGCCTTTGTCCTTATTTACCTAATGTTTTAGTATGGAATATTTTGCAACTGTGCATAATTAAAGTGGGTGGCTCCTAAAACTACAAGCATGAGTAGCCATATTCCATATGATCTTAGTGGCCTGTTTGTCAGAAGATTAATTATACAGGAAGAAACAGCACATGTAATTTCTTAAAGAGCTGCAATTTCTTAAAGGGAATTTTAAGAAATTAATGAAATTACAGAGCTGTAATTCCTTAAAATGAAATGCCGTGATGCATACCTGTGACCCGAAGAGGAGAAACATTGACCTCTAATTCTGAGCAAATTGTACTTGCCATTAACTGGAGTGGGTGATTGTTCTACCTTTGCTTCCTGGAGAAAAACTGTTTTACCTCCAGCTAGAAAAATTCACTAGAAACTTCAATATTTTTAAGTTACAAAGAACCCTTCTTTCCATTTGCCACAGAGAGACTGCGCGATGTAAAGGCCAGGTGTACAGAGAGGGGGGTAGAAGTCCAGCAGAGGCCAAGGTCTGGAAGCATCTGTCTCAATGATTTGTCTACATTAGCATCATCACCACACAGTAAGTGTTTAAGTTAGGAGTCTCTTTCACATTTAGTTTCAGAGCATTGCTGGAACACCCAGCTGTGGGATTGAGTCATTAGTTGTGTAGGTGTTTAGTAGATAGTAAACCAGTTTATTGTTGTGTTCTCTTTCACACCTGCAGAAAATGTCTTTGCTTCCAGGGGTGGTGCAGGTAAGAAGTGCCTGAAGTGTGTCACGTTATGAGAGTGGTCCTAGTAAGCCTCAGCCTAGTTTAATTGCATTCTGACCTGATCATATTGCACATGTTTTTCCTGTCTTCATAGCTGTTTATGATTTGGGAATGTTGAGAGGCTGTAGAGCTGTCTTTCATCAAAATCTGACTGGGAGTTATAGTCAAGAATAAGTCTAATTTCCTCTAGTCTGTCCTAGCTACTCTGGCAGTGAAAGCAGTTTAAATTCCAGTGCACCTTATGTACAAAAGTCTGCCAGCAATGGGAACCTCTGGGCCTGCTGTAGCCCCCATTAGCATCTGACCTGGTAGCCAACAGAGGCACTGCTTTCAAAGAACTTGCTCCTACCAGTCTGAGGGCTGCCTCACATCCAGTGGTACTGAAAACCAGCATTTCTCTGCCAGAAATGTCTGGTTTCCAACAGGTATTTGTAGTGTTTATGGAAAACCACTGGTTGCAGTGTTAAGTTTCTTGCACTTCATTGTCTTTAGCCAGGAGACGAGCAGAACTGGCACGCCAGGAGCGGGAGCTGATGGCAGAAGTCTGGCGGCTCAGACGAAGGCTCACCTCACGGGCCCAAGCCAGGCACCCTCCAGCTCGTTCCCCAGCTACAACGTGGTCACCTTGAGATGATTTGCTCTGCACCTTAGCTGCACTTTCAAATTATTAATCAGTGAAAAGCTAAATATGTATACTGTGATTCAGGATGGACCATAGACTTATTAAAGGCTTTTGGAGATGTTTTTATATAAGAATAAAATCCTAGCTAGAAAATATGTCTTTTGTTTGTAACCTTCTTGTTATTTTTTACTTCTAAAATAAACTCATTTTTTTACCATCAAGTTACTGAGTGTGCAGTATTTGTATACTTCTGGTGGCTGCCCTGACTTGAAGAAACAAATCACTATTAAAAATGTTGGTTTTGTCAGTGATATGGAAGTGGATTCTACAAGTTGCAGCAGGGAAATTTGCAATCAGAGAAAAGAATCCTTTCCAGCGAGAGCCAAACATTGAAACCAAGGCCCAGAGAGAGTGTGGAGCACCTGCTGGAGAGGCATGTAGTTGTTACACATATTAGCAAGTTCATTTCATGAGAAAGAATAGGAGAGAGGATCTAAACAAATCCTCTAGCACTACCTTGCTCTTTGTAGTGCTTGTGGTACTGATGGCTAATGCTTTTGACCCAAGTCAAGAACATTATGTGGTGTTACAGTAAAAAGGAATAGGGCAAAGTAAATTAAAGTGAATCATCCATAATTGCTACACATAGTGCTGATACAGGGGTAGACTTGGCCCTGTGAAAATATGAGGACTGGGATCTTAATTTGTTCTGCTTCCCCTGGGGTTTTGCTGATGCTCTTTGGGGCAGCAGTATGGGAGCAGCACTGCTCGTGCTGGCCCTGGGGGCTGAGGCACCGGGCAGACCCAGGATGATACCTCTAACCAGCACCTTTCTGTCACCTGGGGCGGGGAACAGCCTCTCTGCTTCTCGTTAAATTACATGAAAACCTAACAGCACAAAGGTACTTGGTTTTCCTTGCCTTAACATCCTCTGCATCTGGAAGTAGAAAGCGTCACATTAGCAGCAACCAGGATCCATGGAAATCTCATTGCAGCCCTCAGCAGAGTGTGGAGAAGAGGCATCATTCCTTTTCAAAGGGAGAAAAATGCAACAAGCCAGAATCATCTCGGAGGCAGAGGGAGTAGATGAGAAAAATTGTATTTTTCTGGTGATTGTCTTGGAGTTGACATACAATCATTTTGGATATTTAAAGGGAAATAATAAACCCACTGAGCTTTTGGCCTGTACCATGGGCTATATGCGTTCGTGCTTATGGTTTGTAAAAGCTGCCCCCGAGCACAGCCTGATGCCGGGTGTGCCCACTGCCACCGCAGGAGCCATTCCCCATCCCCCCATCCCTGCACGGGCTCGCAGACAGCGCAGGGGCTGAAAATCTCTCCTAAAACCTACAACAACCGCAGAAGTTATTCCCGGGAGCCCAGCACCGGCAAAAAGGGCTCTTGACCGTGAACAGCCGCTTTGGAAACCACGACAAGCACGGCTCGGACATCGCCGAGCGGCTCGGAGCGCGGTGTCGCGCGAGTCTGTCGCCGCTAAAAGGGCGGGGGAGGCGGCCGAGAGCAAAAGTGCTACCCGCCTTTGCCCCGTGTGAGGATCGAACTCACGACCTTCAGATTATGAGACTGACGCGCTACCTACTGCGCTAACGAGGCGGCTGCAACGCATTTCTCCGTGAGGGCTCTCGGTCCTGCCGGCGGCCTCGCTCCCCGCCGGGGCCACGGGAGGACATGGCCCGGCCCGGCCCGGCCCCTCGTCCGCCCACAGCGCTCCGACCGGGCCGGGTCCTGTGCTGGCCGTGCGGGGACACGGAGTGATCGTGTGGAGTGACAGCAGGGTTTCGCTAGGGTGACAGTGTGAGGCACCACAGTATAACCTGTGAGGAGCCCCGCCGTGCTCATGTGGGGGACCAGGGTGACCCCGAGGGACACCGGAGTGACCATGAGAGATCCCGGCCGAGGAGGGGAGGGCCGTCCCTGGCCCCGATCGGCATTGGCAGGGCTCAGTCCTGCATGTCAGGGTAATTAGATGGCATCATTTTCGGCCTAATTGCTTGGAACAGGTCAGGAGATAATTAGTGACTTTCGGCCGCGTCTGGCAGCTGCGGGCGGATGTTGGGGGCGGAGGGAGGGTCGGGGTAGGTTTTAAAATCACCCCAGAAGCTCAGGCCGGCCCCGCCACCGCCCCTCCTCGGCCGCACGTGGTCGCTCCGGGAGTAATATCCGAGCCATTCATTTCATACTCTTCTGTTTTCTTCTTTGTCTCATCTTTACGTGTGATTTTTTTTTCTTCCTCCCACCCCATAGGGCACCTGACATAGCCCCAGAATCTGTGAAGCTGCCCTGAAAAACTGTCCCTGAAGACACCCGTGCTCCCGAGGCCGGGGCAGCGGGACCCTCTCGCTGCCCACACCCGGCCTCAGCAGCCCTCACAAGAGCCCAGGCCGGCACATCCCCTCGCTGCCGCGCTCCCTCTGGAGCCGTGGCACAGCCGTGGCACGGACACAGCGCTGCCGGGGCGAGGGCCAGTCCCCCCCCCCGCGTGAGGGAAGTGTGTCACACGTGGCGCTGCAGCCCGGCACGCACACAGGTATGGACACCTCGGGCAGGCGCTCCCGCCCCGCCTCTCCTCGGTCGGACCGGCCGGCCCGGCTGCCCCCGGGCTCTGGCCTGTCACCCCGCTGCAACCCGCGCCTCCGTCCAGCTAATGACACAGCAGAGACCTGCCACGGGGGCAACGTGACTCCAGCAGCTGCAGCCTGGGAAGAAAAAAAAAAAAGGAAAAAAAAACCCCAACCCCCCCTACCAAAAAAAAAAAAAAAAAAAAAAAAAGTCAGCTTTGCGCACAATCAAGTGATGAGTGTTTGTATTTCTCATGCTTTGAAGCCAGCTCACAAGCCTCCCTCCACGTAATATTCAGGATGTTTGGGAAGGGGTATTTTACTTTTAATAGGATGGCGTAGTCACAAAGCTTTAAAGAAATAAGCGAGTGAATCGTCTATGGTAATAGCAACATACTCCGGACGGGGCACAGTGACGAGCTTCACATTTATTTTTAAGCCTGCCTGGCAGCATGTAGGTGCAGAACAGAGCCCATGACCCTTTCTGCTGTTCTGAACCCATGGACATGGCTGCTGTCTCTGTTCCAGTTCACCATCAGAGCTGTATTTTCTCCCTAACGAATACTATGGGAAGATAGAGATGCCTCAAGCTGTTTTGAAGATTGTGCAATGATGCTTGGGAGCCTACCTGCTTTTGCTTGAGTGCTTTCCTCACTCATATTTCACAGGATGCGACAGGAAGGGAAATACAATCGAATCCGACGGCCGTGGTAAATTTGACTCGAATCCTTCGTATGCCCTGGGGCTGAGGTGGGTGCCTCTCAGATAAGCAATCTAATCAGCTTTGCGTTTGTGTCCCATCTGGAAACAGATTGTTGCCGGAGTACACCAGCACCTGAGAAGCAAGCGTCAGGTTCGTTTTAAAGGTAATTGTACAGACAAATTCAGGGAGTGTGAATTTGCCTGTGGTAATAAGATCTCTTTATTTTTATTCATAGTTAATTCGTTCAGCCGAGGCGATTTCATGCCAGAATGCAGTCCTCAAACAAGAAGGACGATTGCACTGCCTGTGGCACGCATATGCATGGTGCCTGCCCGGCAGATCGGCTGCTTCGACAAAGAGCCATGAACCACCCCAGACATATGGGCAAGATAAGGAAGAGGCTGGAGGATATCAAGAACCAGTCCCCGAAGTTGACAAAAGTGGACTTCAGCCACAACGAAAGCATAAGATTGGCCACCGACGCCTTCTTGGATGGTGGGACAGACTCTTACCTCCAAACTCTAAGCAAAGAGGGTGAGGTGGATTTCCTCTCCTCGGTGGAAGCTCAGTACATCAAGGATAATGCCAGGGAGTCTTATTATGCACAGGAGTGCCCAGGTGCGGACGGGGCAGCCGCGCCAAAGCAGAACGACGCCGGGTCACTGCCTTCGGGGACCTACTTCCCCACCATTTCTGACAGCAGTGAGCCGGCTCTGCTCCACACATGGATTACAGCAGAGAAGCCCTATCTAAAGGAAAAATCCACCGCCACTGTGTATTTCCAAACAGAGAAGAACAGCAACATTAGAGACATCATACGCCGGTACATCCACAAGACCACTCAGGTATGAGGAGAGAATTGTCTTTCCCTTTGCTCTCAGTTGTTTCTTGCTCTTACAAACTCAGGTGAACATGGTGTTTAATCCAAGGTAGCCCTGTGCATTGCAGTGTAGCTTTGCTCTATAAAGTGCCTGTGAAGAGCTTGTTGTTGAACACAGGCAGTGATTTTTAAATTTTTTTTTTAACTCACACCAAGATTTTTTTTTTGTTGGTGGCTTAAAAAAAGTATTCCCTCTCCTCTGTTGTAACCTCCCACTTGCTCAGTGGATTAAATGTGCTGCAGAAAGGGCAGCTTGGCTCTGTCCCTTCTCATGTACCCTCATCCCAGCAGGATGGTTTTACCTGTTCAGACCACTGCACCATTAATGAGAATTAAGCCTAAGTGAGCTCTCGACCATTAGGAATTGTTCGAGAGGATTTGTGGGAGATGTGGGTGAAAGGGAGGCCAAAGAAAGTCATATATGTCTGGTTTGTCAGCAGCCATTCCCAGAGGAAGGAAATTATCCAGAAAATAGACATTTCATCCCTAATATGTTGCCTATATCAGTTAAAATGTCATGTGGGCTCCATACGGAGACTGCAGCATAACTTGGCACGTGGGAAAGGTGCGGGTGATGCCTCTGACTGCATGCAGGTGGTGGCGGCCACAGAGGTGCCAGGCACAAGCCAAAGCCAGGCTGCCCACACTCTGGGGAACCAGGAACTGAGCAGCTGGAGCAGGGACCGAAAACTGATGTCATGTGTGTTCTAGCAGCTCTCTTATTTTCCTGGGGGAAAAAAAATTGACACTTCAGGGCTGTGTTTACCATCATCCAGGAGTTTTACCCTTATATAAAGTCAAAAGAGCAGCAGCAGTTTCACCCTGGAATGGTCAGGAGCCAAGCCAGGATGCAATAGTGCTGCCCAGACTTCCGAGCCCTCTGGATTCCTTCCACTTTGTTATTCCCCTGCAAGGGCAGGTGCTGGCCCTGATAACGCAGACTGTAATGGCAGGGGAGAAGGATCCCCGTTGGCAACTGCTCTCTCAAAGCCTACAAGTGCTTACCGCACCAGCGGAATTAGAGATCAGTCCTTTTAAGTTGGAAGCATCAGAAAGATGCAGAAACAGAAGAAATGTCTCTGGGATAATAGGAAATCAGGTAAATAGGCATCAGGTAAAATATCAACCCAGACCAATTTTCTGTCCCAAGAAGAGAAAACTTGTGGGCAAAAAGTTGGGAAATGTAATATAAACCCATGGTTCACATGACCTTCTTAATAACCTAATTTACATTACGAGAGTGTGCTGAAGTGACACTAACAGTGTCACTGTTTGTGACACTGTTAGTATCACTTAAATAAATTTGTGAACTGCTTTTTGAGCATAGTTTTCCAATGACACCAGTTGTTAATTATCATCTGGTAAGGGTCCATCCTGGATAGCCTGGTATTTGATATATGCATTAAAAAATTAAATAACAGAATAAAGACTGTGTTTATGGATGATCTTAAACTGCAAAGGATTAGCAAGGGATGCTACAATTTTAACACATTTGTGGAATTAGTGCAAATCACAAAATGGAATTCAGGCAGAAGAAATGAGGAGTACTGCAAGTAAGAGAGAAAAGTCAGATGCAGAAATATAAATTGGGAACAGGTGGTAAAGAGCAGTGCCAGAGAGAATAGTTTGGAGCTGGGGCATTAACAGGAAGTGTAGATGTGAGATATTTGACATAACTGTGCTTACCAAGCCATGGCAAAGCTCTTTCTGAAGCACCAGGCTTTGGCAGCAGGAGGTAGGTGTGGGATCCTCACTGCTCCACGAATAGTTTGGCAGCACAAAGAGGATGGTGGCTGCACAGGATATGCCTGGTCTTGTAGGATATCCTCATGGTGGCAAGGGGAATAAGATTGCTGTTAGGTGTGGGCATAGGCTTTGGAGTAAGATTCAGAACAAGCTGGAAGCAATTAGTAAGAGAGATCTACAGAGATGCTGTAAAGTTTGTTTTGATTGAAGGTGATATCCCATGAGCACAGTTACCAAAGTTCCCTCTCCAGTCAGTAGAGAAACCAGCACCTCCTGAAGATAAGTCAGGTAATAGCTGGGCTGAATTGACCCTTTCCATGGGCAATAGCAGACATCAGACAAGACCAGCACTTTCTACTATGGAACTGGTTTTGTATCACATTTACAGTTCCCTTGATCCACACTGGCTGCAAGCTGTGCATTTAAACAATTGTCAGGGCTTTTATGCCCAGTCCTGAGACTTTTACAGTATTCTGCCAGTTGTGAGTTAGGGAGCATGGATGTGTGATTAAAGTCTAACAGTTAAGTTTATAAATCAGTGTTTTAAAAAATATGGAGCTGTCGGAGTCTATCACCCCACCAACAAGAACAGGGTGAGGCTTTTTAAAGCCAGGGCTGTCCAGGTGTAAATCATAAAAGAGAAAGCATCATCCAGGGATTCTTGCTGAATGTGTGTGGCTTATGACACCTAGTGAGCCGTGTGGAAAGGGCTATGGTCTTTTATTTAGCCACATTCTTATCATCCTCTGGTAAGTATTTCAATGTATTTCCTAGTGCTGAAATCTCACCTACAAATTCATATGTCAGCTTGTCATATGTTGTGTGTTATATTGGCTTTAGATGAGGAATAAAACAATGAGGCAATATGTTTAATCAGTTTAATGATTCAGGCACTTATAGGGAGAAAAACAGAAAAAATATGCACATATAACTAAATATTTGTGGTTATTGGAATATTTTTTTTAAACAAACAAACTACATCACAGTGTCCTCATAGCAACCTTAAATGATGTAAATTGACTCTGCTAATGGCTGTGCTCTCTTTCTGAAGGTGTTAGCCATTGTGATGGATGTGTTCACAGACACTGAGATTCTCTGTGACCTCCTGGAGGCAGCAAACAAGCGCATGGTCTTTGTCTACCTGCTGCTCGATCACAGCAGTATAGATCTTTTCTCGGAGATGTGTGACAAGCTGCAGATTTCTGAGGATCTCTTCAAGGTACCGTGGCTCTGTGAAGCTTTTAGGCTGAGAGTTGTCTGCCTAACTGCAGGCACTCCGAGCTGGAAGCATGGTTATGCTAGGGTCAATCCACCTTCTAATTAAAAGGGTGCAAGAGATTTCCTGGGGTAGTGTTAGCACACCCAGTTCCTCTTTGAAGATGCCTACGTTTTCCCATGGATATTATAGAAAGGTAAGGCATTTCCATTAGGTTCCCAGATGAAAGTAATCTTGGCCCTCAAGTCTTAAAACCGGACGTAGATTTCCCTCTAGAGGTATCTAACATAGGCATTAGAGCTGCTTCTGTTTAATAGCTCTGCAGCAGCTGTGGTCTGGCAGCCACAGGGAGAAGGTGCACAAAACTCTTTTGCATAGCCATAGCTTGGTTGCACTGGGTGGTTTCTGATAAAATGTGTTAAAGTTCTTATAAAATGTTAACACATTTCTGATAAAATGTGCTAAAAGCTCTCAAATTTAGGTGGCTGTTAGTTTAATCTGCCTTCATCTCTGTCAGAAGTAGCTGCCTTTAAAAGAACACCTCCTAGGGATTATTTCAGTTTTGCTTGAGATGCTGTAGAGCTCCTATGGCATCTCCCTGGGGATGGGTGATACTGCAGAGGCCACAGACCTCTGGAATGGCAGCTGTGGGCACACAGGAGACCTGAGGGCATCTTACACATACACCAGACACCTGGTTTTCAACAGCTGAATTCCATCCCAAATATATAAAGAAGCTGAAATTAATAATGCATGTTCATAAGTGTTTGCATGCCTGTAAACCCTCACTCCTAAGGAGAGTGTGTCCTTGCACGTGTGTCCTTGCAGGCCCAGATGGATTGGAGGAGCAGAGGTTTTGCCCTGCTCTGTCATGGCACGGGCAATGTAAATCAAAGGAATATACAGCTACAGCAGATTGTGCCTGGGCTGTCCGTGGAAGACAGCAGGCTGCTCCCAGCTATGGACACATCCGTGTTCCTTTTGGCTGGGTAGGGTCACTTACTGTCACACAGCTCAGCTCCACCTGCATGAGCTTCCACACAGGTTTATATCCCCAGTGAAACAAGGAACCCCTGGCAAGTGAGAGACCTTGTCTTCTGGACACAAACCTTCAACTATCACATCAGAGAGTCCATAAAGAAATTTGACTTTCGGGCAGTGAAGAGCTAAAGGCAGTGGGGAAAAGGGCCCTCCCTGTCTGATTTTTATTAAAAAGACATGTAATTCACTCAGTTTTATTTTTATTTACAGAATATTTCAGTCCGCAGTGTTACTGGAGAGGTTTACTGTGCCAAGTCAGGCAGGAAATTTTCAGGACAAATTCAAGAAAAATTTCTGATCTGTGACTGGAGATATGTGCTTTCTGGATCATACAGGTGAGATAAGCCATTGCACTTCATCTCTAGGTACTCTGTTATGATTTTTAATACTTCTTCCTAAGAAAAGTGCCATGGAGATCTTTGTAAGGTAAGAAACTTTTGTTTAACAAAAATCACCTCATGTTTTCAAATATGTGCCATTTTTCAAAAATCTCCTTAACTTGCTTTAAAGCTGCTCTTAGTTCTTTATGGAACATGGGTTTTAATTTAAATGTTCAGAAACTAATGTAAACAACTTTGCCAGTGCACCCCTGGGGCAAAGCTAGAAATGTGTACAGCTTAATATTATGCTTTCCTCGTTGTTAAGGTTCTCAAGTGTTGTGATCATGAGGCATGATACATTTCTGTCTCCCTCGGGATCCCTTAATGCAGCATATGTCACTCAGCTTATCTGAGGATTTGTTCTTCATATGACAAATTTAGTGATTAAAGGTAAAACAGAAATCCTTCAGAGACTTACTGTTTTTCTGTGTGTTTTATTAACAGGTAGCCAGTATATATCTATGTAACTACTGTAGCTTCGTTTTCCCCCTTTTTTAAAATTTTGTTTGTTTGTTTGTTTTGTTTGTGCTGCTATAATTATTTCAGGTAATGGATGTAGCATCTCAACAACTGGATTTTTAAGTAAGATCCTAGATCCTCTGGTCAGGGAATTTCAGGAGACTGAGTTTGCATCAAATAAATGAAGTTTCTGAGCATCATGGCTACATAGATATGTTTCACAAATGACCAAGTGTATCCTAGAAATCCAGGTACAAAAATACAAGAGGTGATTATTTAATTTAAAGGATTATTTAATTTTCTTAATCCCAGTTTACGATTTGGAGGCTTAAATGCCTCTGGTCTGATAAAACTGTGCCACCAGGAAGTTTACAGAACTAAAGTAACGAAGGAAAAAGTGAATTTCTGGGGATGGGCTGCAGGAGCTCAGATGTACACTAATACAGGCACCCACTTTTCATTCCATTTCCAAATTAACCACCAGACAAAACTTAGTGGACACTCAGGGTTGGGGTTTTTTTATTGACTGTACTTTTACTTTCTTGTTATTTTGGGTGGTTTTAATCCCTGGTCAAAGATGTGTTAAATCCAACAAAGGACTCGTATAGAGTAGAAGTGAAGGATGTGTGGGAGGAGGACAGAACAAGATCTATTTTCTTTGACCAAGAAGCTTCCTTTTGGCTTCTCTTTCAATACCAAAAACACTAAAAACACCTGAAGTCCTGTGCAGTCACTTCTGTCTACTGTTGTTGAATAGCTTCTAATCTCAAGTACCTTGCCAAACTATGTAATTCCATATCTAGCACACAAACAGAGAGGGTGGTGAGGAACAAATGTATTTAAAACTATTAAAAACTATTTAACTTCAGCACATCCAGCACCAGTTTGCAGTTCACATGGGTTATAGCTGGCTACCAGAATGTGGCATTTCTTGCTAGCTCTCACTTTATTAACCTGAAAGATTTTTGTTATGCTTAAATCTTATCCACCAGCCTCTTTAGGTATAAACAAGAATGATGTTGAGTGAAACAGACTAAAGCTCTTCTGCAATTCATTTGTTGGAGATCAAATTGGAGTATATCTTAAAACTGATACAAAGATTTCAAAATACAATACCAAATTTCACCAAAGTGCTGAGCTCTGCGTGATAGTTGTAATAGTGGTGGGGGGAACAGGCTGAGGAAATAAAATAGCCCTTCAGGACGTACTCTCAATTTTTATTACCAGTATCTATGGTGAGGGGTTAGAATGCAGTATTTCTTTTTGCTGTCTCTGTGTCACTCTACTTCATCCTATGGTAACTGTTATTCCATTTTTTTAATGACTTTGAAATTAGATAGTGCATGAACTCAGCCTTCCTAAAGAAGGCAAAATGAAAACAGCAGAAAGCACAGACCTTGATCCCCAGGGGCAGCTGAGTATCTCCCTGGCTGCCACTCTGAAAGCCACTGGCCTCTTCAGAGTCAGCACCTAACAGCTAACACGGACATGCTTTGCCAGGAGCATCACTTCAGGTGGAGCAGGTTTCTCCCACACAGGTTATCCACCAGCAGGCAACACTAACATCCAGGGTAACCCAAACCTGAGCCCAGCTGAAAACCCCAGTCCGTCCTTCCTTCCTTCCTTCCATTTCAGATTCCATGGGTGTTGTGCTGCACGTTGCTGCAGCACTGTGAACACAGGGATGAGAACATCCCTACTGAACTGCAGCTCCAGCAGTGCAGAGAGGACACCCATTATAAAACAAGTCCAGTGCTGAACAGAAGAGGTGGGATTTGATTGAGAACATCATAAATGAGAGGGTCTGTAACAGGACATAGGACAAAGCCCTGGAAAGATGGCTGAGCAGTATCTGTCTGTGACTGAATGTATGATACAGCGTTGGCCCCAAGCCAGGCATCATTTCTTTGTGCTTTCTCTTCTTTTGATGGGCCTCACCCAAAAAAACCTGGGAGAAAAGTGATCCCTCTGGGCAGCTGGTGACAATAACAGTCTTCTCTGAGCCTGTCCCAAAAGAGCACTCAGAATTGTAAACTAAGGAGCAAAACAAGGCCTAAAACCTAAACAATGCATTTTCTCTTAGAATTAAGCCAATGAAATCTTTTATGCCAAGCTCTGTTTTGTTCCCCAGCAAAGTACACAAACTGTAAATTGCTGTGACTCACTACACAACAAGTCCACAAGTGTTTGTCTATAATCACAAAGATCTTACCTTGTAACTTTGAGCTGACCCATTTGCCATTGGTTCTTGGAGAATCTCTGGGCTATTAATTTGATCTTTCTGTTTACATGGGTTACAGGTAAAATCAATGACCCACAAACTAGTATCTGTCTGTCAGGTACTCCAGGAAGATACATATGGGAGTAAATTATCAAAATTGGGCAGAACAGATTTTTTTCCTCTGATTCTGTTATGCTTTTAACAGCCATTTACAAGGTAATTGATTTATATTTCCCTGTAAATTTTCTTTTATAAACTAGGTCTATCTCTAGCACATAAAGTATAAGCACGATACTTCAGACCTCAGCCCTTTCATGATTTTTTAACCTTCAATATAGATATCCTAGAAAAATTGTGTGCATTTTTGTATTTATTTCTGATCTATTGTCTCTTTAACAGTTAGATGAAGGGCATGCAAAGGTTTAGAGAGCACTGCTCAGTGAGTAAAGGCAATGTTGAGCTGGCATAGCAGGTGTTACACTCCCAGCAGGGAGTTAGCTTGCTCTTTACCTGGCTCCCAAGGTTTTGTCCATATTTAGAATGATTTGAACACAGTGGATGAGAAGTGCATGAATTTTGGTAACTTACTATGTGTTTTCATGTCCAATCATAAAATGCACAGTATAAATTGTATGGGTGCCCAGTGGCATTGAACTACTGATTTCTTCACTCCTCCCCCTGCTGCTGAAGCAACAGTATAAAATCACTGTATACCTCAAACCCAACCCTCTTCAGGAATGCTCTGGACAAGCAGATGTAAATTGTCTGTCTTACTGCCTCAGATTCAGCTCAGGCTGTCACTCCCACTGAGCTTCACAAGAGTTTTATCAAAACGTGACAAGATTTTAAGTGCACACACCTACAGCCAAATCTGGCTCTCAGCAGCCCTTGTGCAAATCCAGCATAGCTAATAAAGTCACACAGGAATAACCATGGCAGAGTTTTGCCAATACAGAATAATCTCAGGTTCAAATCCACCTCTGCTCTGTATCCTCTGCTGCACAGCTCAAGCCCTGGTCAGTTCAGGGAGTAATTACATTTCATTCTCTCAACTATGCTCATTTTATTGGTGCTGCAGCTGCTCAGACAGCACAGCCTGCACAACACAATCAAGCTGCCTTGTGGTTTTATAAAAGCACAAATTTATGTTTGCTGAGTGGATTAGGGAAGCACATAAAAGGAAAATAATTTAAAAGTTGTGGGTTCTCCCCAAGGTGTGTCTCTGAGCTACCAGAATTAAAACTATTGTGGTGTTTCTCCCTTACTTTATAGCAAAGTATTACATTTATTTTTGGAAATGCTGTAGGAAATATTTGTAATTTCATTTTCTCTGTAGTGAAGAAAACAAGCATTTGTCAGTTGTGGCAGCTTGCTTTGTGGTATGGGATGTGACAGGAAGGTTGGGGTTTTAAGTGTTTCTCTTGCCCAATGCAGAAAGATTATTGAAAAATGGAAACAAAGGATGGTTCTTTTTTCCTATTCTTTTTGATGTCACTTGGAATGACAGAGTTACCAAGTGGAATGGCATCCTGCAGGGTACAAGGTACAGTTTATGTGTGTGCAGGTAAGACATGGCAAGACCGGAATTTAAGCACTGTGAGTGGAAGAGAGGTCCCCAAAAGAGGGGTCTAAACTCCTTTCCATGGAATAGACACCTTGGGTATTGTATCTGACATTTATCCCTGCAGTGGATCTGGATCACCACTCCCTTCAGGAGGTTGCATAACGTTGCAAGGTTTCTTGAAGGTTTTAGAGGCAGCTGCAATAACAAAGATTGATCCAAGTTAAAGAGCACTGATGTGAACTGACCTGAAATTCAACTTCGACACCATCTTCATCCTGTGTTTAGACAAGAAGCTTCAGCAGTAAAACACATTTGCCTATCGCATCACCCCTGCGGGGGATCTGCAGTTCCTGACGGCGGCGTTAACTCTAACCCTTACCTTGTCTCTTCTTCCAGCTTCACGTGGCTGTGTGGCCAGGTTCACCGCAACCTCCTCTCCAAGTTCACGGGCCAGGTTGTGGAGCTCTTTGACGAGGAGTTCCGGCACCTGTACGCGCTGTCCAAGCCCGTGCGGGGCCCCAGGACCCCGCCGCGCAGCCTCCCCTTCCTGTTCAGCCGGAGCTGGGCCCCCCCGCGCAGCCTCCCCTACAGCGACGAGGGAAGCGCCAACACCCTCTCCGACCCCTTCAGCAGCCTCTCCGCTGGGAGCACCCACCAGAGCAAGCAGACCCCAAGAACTCTCATGTTCAACAGCAACTTCAGCCCCCAGTCACCTCTCCAGCGAGTCAATTCCTTCCACAGCTATGTCTCGTTCACCCCCCCGCCTCCACAGAAGGCCATCCAGCCTAACTACTATCAGCCACCATACATGGCTGAAAACTCCACAGTTCCCTATAACAACATGAACATTTACAGACCTATAAGGCTCAGGCAAGAGGAACCGAACAGGACAGGGTTAAGCTCATCCTGGAGATGCCTCCACAAAGCTAACCTGTTTGCATAATAACCACCTTGTTTGGAAATCCAAGTAAATGTAGTGAGGACCTGTTTAGCAATCACTTGTGTACTGATGAATATAGAAATTCTGTATAATACAAATGAGGATGATTTCAAGCCTCTTGTTTTGTTGCTTATGGATGCTTCATTTCCCTGATTAAAAAGCCAAGGCTGCTAATGTGTGAACCTCAGGTGCATCAGGATCCCAGGGAAGAACACATCTGAATAGTGCTGCTCACAGTGCAACACTGCTGCTGCCTGTCACCTGCCCCTGGCAGCATATTTGTGTACCAGAAGGACAGTAACTGTTTTTCTTATGTCCAGGCAACTGGAAGGGGGTAATGCACAGTTTACTACTATGCATTTTATGCACTTGAGTAAGGAGACTGAAGGCTGCTATTTCCGTGGCAGCAGCAGGATACCTTTGTGTTCTCATCAAACCTTAATCTTGATTTATGGGGGACTGTCTTTGGGCTGGCAGGGAGGCACAGCTCCTGCCACAGCACTTAGAGCTCTCTCCTTGAACTCCACAGCGAGGACAGCTGTTCCCAAGGATTCTTAGGAAGGGGCCTGGTACCCTTGACACGGACTGAGACCGACAGTTCCAGTTGTGGAAAACACATTCACCCCAGTTCAGTTCCACTCATCAGCAACACGGGTGTGTCCAGCACACCTGGTTACAAACCTCCAATCCTACCAGCTCAGGGCAACTTTCCTTATGCAGAGCATCTCTGAAGGTGCAGGCTGGAAAATGAAGCTGAGTTAAAGAAGCAAAGTCCTACTAGTAACACACCAGGACTGAGTTCCAATTCATTCAATTGCACATGGATCTTTAAAATCCTTTCTGTGTCATCTGATTGAACGTGAAGTTAGAGATACCGCTGAGTTCTTCATGGCCTCTAATTTTTAAAGATAAACTGGGTGTCTGTGGTGCCCATGGACTAGAGTTACAAAGGGAGTTACAGAGGTTCTGCAGCTTGAACCAAACCAGAAAAACTCTCTGCCAAATAATCCATGAAAACTAAGGAAGATTCTGTAAGCAAAAGTAAGAAAATTCATGAAACAAAGGATTTCCATCCAAAGTTATCAAGATGCCTAACAGCTGTTGATTTATCAGTAGATTTTTTTTGTTCCACACCTGCTTTGTATTGTTTTTCATATGCCTCCAACAGAAAACAGTGCCCTAAATACATTTGCACTTCTGGCCTGTTTTTCCTGACTTCTCACCTGCTCAAAAAAGGAATACAATGTAATTATGTAGACTGTGGATGATGATAACTGTATGCAGGTGAAGAAGGTTTCTCATCTTCCTTCATTTTGGAAGCATACCTGTAAAGTTTAAAGAACATCATGAGAGGTACAGGATAGACACATCCTGATCTAGCTTCAGTATGGGTGTTTTAACCAGTAAAACCAAATTTTGGAGTCCATAATAATAATCAACTATTGCATATAATTGTAAATTCTGTACATAGCAACATTTTTTTGGATTCCTTGGGGAGAAGGGAAATTTGATTTTCATTCCTATGATAATTCTGCTTATTTATCTGAATATAGCAAGCATTCAAATAAAAGAGAATACTTTTTTCTTCATGTTCTATTGCCTGCCGTGTACACCTTACTCTGTTCTCTTTCAAAAGCTGAATGAATCCCATGCAGTCAAAGTCCAGATGAAGAAGAAACAGAAAGAAGAAGAAATCAACAGGAACAGAATTAAGGTGTCCAAAGAGACTAATTAAGATTTTCTTTCTAAATATGGTTCATTTCACTGATCCTGTTGTGGCCCAGCTGGGCTGGTACAGAGGGGGATATGGGTAGAACTTTGTAGACCTTGATTTCCTCAGGCCATGATCTGTGAAGTCCACAAAGGAGCTCTTTTCACCTCTGTGGGGAAAGACAGTTTGCATACAAAAGTTTTGGAGAACATAGCTAATGAAAAGGAGGTAAGGGTCAAGGTAGCAATCCAGAAGGACCACTGTGAGTTAATTTCAGCTGGATCAGGAAAACAGCTTGTGTTGGTTCAGACAACATCTGAACTTGAACATTTAGTGGATGAAATTTCAGTTTTGATGGAAAACAGTCAGTTTACAATGTCAGCAATGAGTTATACTAAAAATCCTAACAGGCCCCCACAACTTAGAGAGAAAGGGCAACGTTCAGCTGCAGAAACTGTCAGGAAGGCCATGGCAGGTGCTGACCTGCCCTGTCCTCCTGCACCAAGGGAAGGGCCCCGATAAGCTCGGCTACCACACCGTGCACCCTCCTCAAGTCTGAGGATGACAGCAAGCTGAGTGCTGCAGGTGAGTCACTGGAGGGAAGGGATGTTGTCCAGAGGGAGCTGGACAGGCTGGAGGCCCATGTGAACCCCATGAAGTTCAACAAGGCCAAGTGCAAGGTCCTGCACCTGGGCTGGGGCAATCCACAGTATCTGTGCAGAGTATGGGGTGATCGGATTGAGAGCAGCCCAGAGGAGAACCTGGGAATATTGGATGTTTATTGGACGTGAGCTGTCGCTGTGCACACACAGCCCAGAAGGCCAAACGTGCCAGCATCCAAAGCCCCATGGGCAGCGGGGCCAGGAAGGGGATTCTGCCCCTCTGCTTTGGTCACTCTCCCTGGTGAGTCAGGATCTCATCTGGGCTTTGCTGAGGCCCATTGGATTCCCCTGCTGCCATCCTATTTTGTCCTGTTTTGTCCTATTTTGAAGATGATCTGGGTGGGACTAAAAAGCTCCAATAAATGTAGCCTATACCAACCTCCAGATTATCTACAGAAGTGAATTTCTAATTAAAAGTTACTTTTTGGGGATGTTTAGACTTTTTTAGAGTGGGAGGACCTGTGGAGGGTAGCAGGGGCCTCCAAGAGGTCCCAGCAAAGCCCAGGTGAGGCCTCAGAGCACCCTGGAGGTCAATTAAGTGCCCATGTGGGCCCCTGCAGAGCCTAGAAAAGCCCCAGTGCTTTCTGGAGGGCAGCTCTGCCATGTCAGAGCACCACTGGTGGTGACAGCGATGAGGACATTCCTGTCAGGGCTGGTTCTGTGCGTGTCCTCACCACAGGGAGCAGAGAGCAGGCAAGTGCCGCTGCCCAGGGGACTGTCAGGCACCAGGAAGGGAGGTTTTGCAGGGCACCAGGATCCCACATCTGCTCCAGCATTCACACCCTGGCACTAAGATGGATGAATAGGCTGGGCTTGGCCAGGGTTTTCCAAAGTGTCCCCGTGTCCCTTCCCCAGCCAGAACTAGCCCTGCAGGTCTTTCAGCTGGTGTCCTGTGAGCAAGTGCTGCCCATTCAGGTGGTTTGGAATGTGCATCCTGGTGCCTGGACACACAACTCCCACCAGATCCCACTGGCAATTGCTGCTCACACTAGAGGCACCCAGAGGAGCCTGTGCTCGAGGACATTCCCTGTGCTTGCTGCCTGTGAACCTGGGACCACTTCACTGATTGTTTCTTCCACAGGCTGCTTCCAGTCACCTGGGACTTCACCTGACTTCCATGACTTCAAGTGTCATGGAGAACTGCTTGGCAACTACACCAGCCAATTCCCTCAGGACTCTAGCATACATCTCACCAGGTCCCAGACTCAGGTGTGTTCAGGTTCCTCAGGTGCTCTCGACCCTGATCTTCTCTTACAGCAGGAGGGACTTTGCTTCCCCAGGCCCTGCCTTGAGAGCCATTGACTCAAGAGGCATAAGAGGAGAGGATGTCAGTGAAAACTGAGGCAGAAAATTCATTTAATACCTCAGCCTTCCAGCCTTCTCCATGTCCATTGTTGTCAGTTTGCCAGTTCTTCCACAGGCTGCTTTTTTTTTCCTTTTTTTTTTTTTTCCTTTGTGACACAGACAGTTCCCTGGTCTTCCCCTGTTATTCCTCCTAGAAAGCAAAGACCATCCAGGTGTTACTCCTCCCTCAACCATTGCACAGCATACTCCTCCTTTTCCAGGACCCTCACTAGGCCTGCCAACTGCACCTCCATTCCTGGGGAGGTGATAGAGCAACAGATCTTGGAAATTATTTCCAGTTTGTCCTGTTCTGGACAAGGTGATGTGGAACTGTGAGCAGGTATGAAGCAATTCTGCCTTACAGTGTATCACATAGGAGGCAGGAAGGTCAACTGACTCCTATCAGAGGGGCCAGTGCTCGGAGGGTCTCCCCTCCAGCATTCCAGCCGCTCATCCTGACACAGAATTACACCCAGCTTGATGGCAGTCCTGAAGTACTGCCCATTCTCTTCTACTTTTCCAGAATTTCTGTCACCAGTGAACCCCACTTTACCTTACCTACTGAACCCGATGACTGATGCTGTCCCCAGTTTCAGTACCTTCCCAGGGAGTGTGGATCCTGCAAGGACAATTGGGGGAACTCTGGCTGTGTCATATGCCATCACCTCACTCACCAGGTGGGGAGCACACAGAGTCCCACCTGGGTTCCTAGATTACTGCCAAAATGGGTTTGCTTGCATTTTTCATCTAGCTTGTGTATGTGTACCAGAAAAAAGGCAGAAGTTGGCACTACCTAAAACTCCTCTGCTACTGCCAGCAATAAAAGTGCCTCTAAGCTGGGAGCACAAGCAAGACTCCACGTCACACCCTTGATTCCTCGTTTTTACAATGACTGCCTGATGAAAAGAGAGAATAAATACATTTTTGTTTTCCTTTGTTTCCTTGTGCAGCCTTTGCTTTTTCTCTATTAAACTATCTTTATTGTGAACCACAGGTCTTTTTTTCTATCCATCTTATTTTCTCCTTCCCTGTGGTGCTGGGGGTACAGTGGATGATAGAGCATTTGGGGTGGGCACCTGGCAGCAGGCCAAGGTCAACCCAGTGACAGGATGACAGGTTTTAATTTGAAAGAGGGTAGATTTAGACTGGACACAAGGAAGAATTTTTTTATGATTAGCATAGTGAGGCCCAGAGAAGTTATGGATGCCCCATCACTGGCAGTATTCAAGCTCAGGTTAGACGGGGCTTTGAGCAACCTGGATGAATGGAGAGTTCCCTGCCAACCCCCCCAGGCAGGAAGGTTGGAACTGGATGACCTTTGAAGTTCCCTTCCAACCCAAGTGAAGGGCGACTCTGTGACAAAAACTGTGTGAACGTTACTAATTACAGCGCTAATGCAGTCCCTCACCTCAACGCCAGCAGCAAACACTCAACAGCAAGACACATAATGGTGTTTGCAGACAGCAATCACTCCAGGAGCATCAGAACCAGCAGCAGAGGGTCCTTCCCAAAGCACCTGTACCACAGGCAAGCGTTAAAATAACAAAATCAAACCTCAGTAACTGTTAGTGGATTCTCACTTGCAATTTGCAGTGCTAAAATTGGCTGTTTAACTCAGAATGGAGTAGTGATGTATATACTAATACCAACAATAATATAAAAGCCAAATAATGAAGAAATCTATTACAGGCAGATGTAAAATTATGCAGAAGGTAGAGGCAACAATGAAGCATTCAATGCAAAATGGAAATGCAAAGCCCCTCTAGAGACATGATCAGAAACAGAAAACTGGAGTTAGATGAGGCACAAAAAAGGGAGAGGCAGGCCAAAAGAGGAAGAAATGAAGTAGCTAAGATGAGAGATAAAAATGGAACAAAGGAACATTTTATAGCCCCAGTGCAATAAACACTGGTTATTTGGTACAGTAACTATCTGACACATTCAGAACAGCATTCATCTTCTTTTCTTTGCAGTAGTTAAAATCAACATTTTTGCTTTATTATTATGTTTTAGAAAATACTGCCTGCTATTAAGAGCTACCACTTGTCTTTAATTCCTGGAACCGGTGGAAAGTTAACCTTTGTGTTCCCAGCTTAAGTGACAATGTCAAGTCAAACAATCTGGACAGATAACAAAAAGTTTCCAAATCACCTTGGCTAGCTGCTGTGTATTTTGGACATCTCAGTCACAAAATGACAACGTTTGGCAAGTATTTAATTTGCTGCTAAAACAGTTCCAATGCTATTTGTGAAGCCAAATAATTTGGTGCATTTCCATTAAATGTCTATACAGACCTGATCCCATAAAAGCTGTGTTCTGATGTCCTAACAGCTGAGACAAAACAAATTACAGCCTTTTCATGTGGCTACTTATGACCTTCAGTTCAAGAAAAAAGGGGGAGATGTCCATGTTTCATTTTTTTGCTGACATATTTAGCATTAAGCTTTTCACGTTTGCTGTCTTTGCTGTAAGATTCTGCTGTTGATGCCAACATTGTAATTAATTTACAACACATTGTGGACAGTCTCTTCTGAAGAATTACAACACCTCTTAGTCTTAAAAGCATCCCCAGCCCTTCAAGAGGGCTTCATGGCCACCTGACTACAGCGCTGACAAACGCACACAAAGGTTTCCGCCCAGCGAAGCGCTCGCATGACTAAAGCAGATCTCTGTGGTGCACGATGAGTGCACCAGTGCTCACCCAAGGGCACTGCCAAGTCACGTCTTTCGTAACCAGCTGCCCAGGATGTGCTTCAATCACACTAACTCACCAAACTATCAAAAGTAATTTGACATGGCTGAAGGCAATATTCCATTTTTCTGGAGATGTTTCAGTCAACTTAGCAGAGGGCTAAACCACACCAAGGGTTCAATCTCTTCATCAGTCACGCAGACGAAGGGATGGAGCGCACCCTCAGCAAGTTTGCAGATGACACTGAGCGGTGTCACCGAGTGGTGCAGCTGACACACCTAGAGGATGGGATGCCATCCAGAGGGCCCTGGACAAGCTCAAGAATCTCATGAGGTTTAACCAGACCAAGTGCAAGATGCTGCACCTGGGTCAGGGCAACCCCCAGTACCAATCCAGGCTGGGGATGAACAGCCCGAGAGCAGCCGTGCTGAGACCTGGGGGTGCTGCTGGGCGAGAGCTGGACATGACCCAGCCATGGGCACCTGCAGCCCAGAAAGCCAAACCCGTCCTGGGCTGCATCTAAAGCTCCGTGGGCAGCAGGGTGAGGGAGGGGATTCTGCCCCTCTGCTCTGCTCTGCTCTGCTCTGCTGAGACCCCACCTGCAGTGCTGCACCCATCTCTGGGATCCCCAGCACAGGAAGGACATGGCCCTGCTGAAGTGAGTCCAGAGGAGGCCACAAAGATGTTCAGAGGGATGGAGCACCTCTCCTATGAGGAAAGGCTGAGACAAGTGGTGCTCTGCAGCCTGGAGAAGGCTCTGGGGAGATCTCATTGGGGCTTTCCAGTACATAAAGGAGGATACAAGAAAGCTGGAGAGGGACTTTTTACAAAGAGGGACTTTTTTTTGTAGTCACAGGGCAAGGGGGAATGGATTCAAACTTAAAGAGGGTAGATTTAGTTTAGATATTAGAAAGAAATTCTTTGCTGTGAGAATGGTGAGACACTAGAACAGGATGACCAGAGATGTCTAGTGGAAGGGGTTCCTGCCTGTGGCAGTGGGGATGGAACTAGATGATCTTTAATGTCCCTTCCAATCCAAACCATTATATGACTCATGATAGTTCCCTAATCAGTATCTTAAAGATTTAAAATTCATCCAAAAGTAGCAGCTACAAGTCACACATGGTGAATCATCATTCAATTGCGAATTTTTTAAGGTTTTGGCACTCTTTAGTACTCCATAAAGAAAACACAGGAACACATGAAGAAAAGGGACAGCAAAGCATGTCTAAGAGACTCCTAGTTTTAAACTACATCCATTATAGAACACTTTTACAGAAAGCTACAAAAAATTAAGTCTCACAGTTTAAGAGAAGATGGAGGAAGAGCACACCATGTTTGTCTGAAATGTAAACTACTTCAAGTGAAAGAAACTACAGGAGGATCTTTGCCCTCTTCTAGATGCCCAAAGCACACAGCACCAGTGCTTGAGAAAGCAAAGCAAAGTGTTGTCACTGACAACTGAAAGCACAACAGACAGAGCTGGATGAGGCAGAAACAACACTGCCAGTTTTCACAGCAAAGATCTTCCTTGCAGGCTTTTACAAAGGATATGATCTGACTAAACACTCTTCAGTACATATAAACAACCTTGTCAGTTCTTCTCCTTCTCGTCTAAGCACACTGAACACAAGACTATGGCTTGTTCAATGCCTGCAACAAACACTTGGCTTCAAAAGGAAAAAATCTCCTAGTTTTAAGTTAAATGTTTATGACTTAGATTTCCTTCCTAAAAGATATGGAATTATTGTTATTGACAATTTCTCAGCATAAATATATTTGAGATTTCTAGCTATCTATCTCTGAAGAGGAAATCACTGTAATGTTAATCAAGAAATATTAAAATAATTACTTAAGAAAATGGCTAATTCCATGGCTCTAAATGCAACAACATCAAATTTGATAATAAGAAATTTTCAAATTGGACATCAGAAAGGAAGTTCCATCCCACCAGCACTGCAGGCCTCCAAAAAAACCACACACACTTCAAGCACAAACTGGTGAGGATTATGATGGAAAGCTACCTCTGAAAGCTGAAAGCTTGATTTTACACTGTGTTCCTTATAATTTTAAATACAAACATATCAGTGAGCAAAGAAAAGCATGCAAAGTTAAGAGTTTAAATATAGAGATTTATATCTACTCTTGAAGAAGTACAATAAGAATTCTTAAAAAAAGTAAAATGAACTTTATTGCATGTATCATGCCGTAATCATTTGGAGATACAAGAATAAATACAACAAAATGTCTATGTTACTGAAGGTGGGAGATAAATGTTTGAATAAAATTGTCCATCAAAGTGACATAAATCATTTTGGAGATTACCAAACCATTTTATTTCAAATTCCACGACTGAAGCAGTTACCAGTGATGACAGTGCTGAAGGGCCTATGCATTTTACCTCACCCTGAAACTCCTCTTTTAGTTTTTCTGGTATAAGATCCTGCCCCATAGCCTGCAAAAAGAGTAAGAAAGAAGAGAATCAAGAAAATAACTTGCAGAGAAAAAAGCATCAAACATGGCAGATCTTTACAGGCAAAGCCCTTGTCACATGGACCACACACCATCCTGGAGAAGTTTCCAAGCCGTGATGAAGTTGCCTGCCTTGGCATTCTGCATTCAGGGAGAGCTGAGACCACAGCTCAGCACTGCACAACCCCTCCAGCCTCAGGCTGCACTTGCACAGGGGTGTTTCACTCTGAACAGCAGCAGAAATCTCAAGACCAGCTCTGCATTCAGTGCTCACCTTGCATCATCGTCAACACTGAACTGCTCCTGGGGCATGTCCCAGCAAGGGAAGCAAGGAGAGAAGTTTCTTTTTGCAGCCTTTCCCAACCCTGAGGTAGCCTGTGTGCTACTGCCCTCTCATGGATGCCATCCCTTTGACTGCCTGCAGCCCAGCAGTGGCTTGGCTTAAAGCTGTAATGCTGACAGCGAAGTTAGAATCTAGCTGGCTTTATTTTGATCCTTACAATAAAAGTCAGAGGCTCTTTAAATAGCACAAAAAATGTTAAATCTCTGTGAAGAGATTAAATGCAATATTGTTCTCCTCTGTTATTTTTTTAAAACTAGTACATTAAACAAAACAAAGAAATGCAAAAGAAAGTCTCTGGCTTTTTCTGGAAATACTTAGTACTTTTTATGCAAGTGTTTAATACTACTGTGGCCATCAAAGTAATAATCTGACTTCCACTTCAAACTGGTGATTCACTTTGGGGCATCTAAAACTCCTGAGATAAAATGTAAATCCCAGGAAATGCACAGTGCTGATGCATCTGCAAATACAAGTCCAGTGAGAAACTTAACAACACTGCACATTCCTGAAAGGAGAATCTCAGCAGATCAGAGATCCACCTGTGTGACACAGGCTCGACAGGCACCTCTGTCAGTTCCAGGTAACACCCTGCCAGCAGCTGCCTCAGCTAATTCCCTGTGCTTCCTGGCACACTTAATGAGCTCAGGGCAGTGTCATGCTTTGAGCACAACCAGTCCACACAGAGAACTGAGACCCTGCACACAAAGAAACATCCTCTTACTTTGGCCATCAACAGCAAGGAGTTTTCATCGAAACCAAGCAGAGCCACTTTGTCATCAATTTCTTTCTGACATTTTCTGTTCTTCTCTAGCACAAAGGACAACTGTTGTGACTGGGTAAGCTGAAGTAAAAGCCTGGAATGAGAAAGACAGTTAAAAATTGGCACAGCTGGAAAAAGAGTAAGTCAGCAGACCTAAAAACAACCAAAATTATTAATACTTTAATTAACACTTTAATACTTTAAAACAGCTCTTCTTCCTGACTTTTGCCTACTGCAAAGAAGCCAATATATGTGTATCAATCTACCATGGATATTGCATATCTGTGCTACAGAACTACTGAGAAGTATTTTTGAAAAACAAGGTGCCAATAGCTCTGGTTGCTCTATGCAAACATTTCTGTCCCCATATATTCATCACACCATTCAAAAGTGAGGCTGGGACCTGTGAGTCATCACGTGCTCACCATGGCCTAACAAGACAGCAGCATGTTTGTGCCTATGGAACCTGGAAAGCTGCAAATGTGAGGGTTTGGACAAATATCAAATATCCCCCCACACAGGCCAATCCTGGATTATTTTCTAAAAGCATTCACCAGTTTTATGTTCCAGGCAGTGCCCCAGAAGTCACAACCATGAACTGCTGAAGGTTGCACACTCTGCCCACAGCAGGGGTTTATGTCATACAGGGCCCCATCACCAACTGCTCAACCAGCAAGAACAGTGGCAGTTCCACCGTCCTCCTCATAAAAGGGCTGCAAAACAGGTCAGCAGAGGAAATATCCAGGTATCTCTGCATTTGTCTCAAATCCACTGTCAGACAGATTAACAGTACTGTGCTTATTTAACACTTCTGGGAACTTAGAGACATATTGCACCATCTCCTGTGAACTCACTGAAATTCACAATAATGGGCATTATTGCAGAGATAAATATCCGTTTTAGATAATTTATGAGGGTCTAGAGAAGGGCCACAAACATGATCAAAGGCCTGGGAAGCCTGCCATTTGGGAACAGGCTGAGAGAACTGGGTTTGTCCAGCCTTGACAAAAGAAGGCTTAGGGAAGACCTCCTCACCATGTTTCAGTATTTAAAGGGCAGCTACAAAAAAGATGGAGACTCCCTTTATACAGGGAACCACATGGAAAAGATGAAGGACAGTAGGTAAAATGTTAATTCTGAGGCGACTCCAACTGCACACAAGAGGAAAGTATTTTACAATGAGATCAGTCATTGGAACAATCTCCTCAAGAAAGCTGTGGATTTCCCAGTGCTGGACATTTTTAAGATTCAGCTGGACTGGGTGCTGGGCCATCTTGCCTAGATCATGTTTTTGCCAAGAAAGGATGACCCTTGAGGTCCCTTCCAACCTGGAATTCTATCATTCTACAATATTTAACCAAGGGACCATTAGAACTTAGCAGTGTTGTTGCTGAAAATGTGTTTAATTCAAGCTTTATGCAAAAAAGAACACCAACAAACTTTTTTTATCCCATTTAGTGAAGTTAAGTGAAGCTGGTGCTATAATAATGGTGTGCATTTTTAAGGAAAAGATTCAAGATCTGAAATGAAAACTTTCATTTGAACACTATCAACATAAAAATTTACAAATGTGATTTTCTCCATTAAAACTTCACTGAATTTACAGATGGTTTGTTGGTTCCAAGCAAAAATGAAAATTATTTTTAATTTATAAAGTATTTTTGTTTCAAAATTTGTATCAATGTAGTAAAACAAAAAAAAACCAAAAACCTTTTAATGAAAATTAAACAAAAAATACTCAAATTATTTTTTTTCCAAAACTATGAGAGTCAATTGTTCATAATGCATCAACAGATAACCTTATTTCCTAGAAAAATCAGTGGTAACATCCTTTTTCCAGGTGCAATTTATCCTGCACATACATTTATACAAAATCTAGATCCTACTTAAAACCCAACAGATCTGAAAATATTAGACAACCTGCATAAGCCTTGGGCAGGGGAGAAGCTTATCCTGGACAAGTGTATCTGCAAATATAAACCACAGTAACACCCTGTGAAACTGTGCAGCCAAGCAAGGAAATGCCACCATTTATAACTGCCTCAGTTCTGAACCATACACACTGAAACAAGCAACACAAATTATTAATATAAATGTACCTTCAACATTCAATATCAGTACTAAATCAATGAATTTCTTCCAAGTAGCAATTAAAGTCTTCATCTCTTAGTCTGGAGTACAGTTAAAAGCTAATATTTGGGCTTTTTTAATTTCTTAAATTCTTAAATCTTGCCCCAGTTATAAAGTGTTCTCTGTAAACATTTCTGGACATTCATAAGATGCCTTTAAAAACATTCAAGGACTGATACATTACTGTGAGGCAAGAGCGGGAAAAACCATCCAAGATTATTTTAACAAAACCAGTTCCTAATTATCTCTTTGAAAGATTATGTTTTGGGGATTTTTGCTGTACGCAAGAGTTTTAGGAAGAGGGAAAAGAAAAGGAAAGAACATTTTAATGCAGCCCTGTCAATCAGTTGTCACGGAGTTCATTTGCCAGCCTCATCCATTATGCAGATTGGGGTATCATTATAAAATACATCTTCACTCAAGCATGAGGCTTCAAGCAAATAAGACAGGTGGCACTCGCAGAAGGAAGACTGGCTGTGCCTTCCCTTTGGGCACTTCTGCTACTGCATCTTTAATACCAGAGCAGGGAACAGCAATGGTCTAGCAGGAGCATTTGTTGGAGAACAGACCCTTTTGTATATAATTACTTGAAAAGATTTATAAGCTCATTGAAAAACTCTTTCCTTCTCAGCTGTGCGTGACACTGGTTTAGTCTTTCCACTCAGATTCAGACTCTTCACAGCCACCACACTAAGCAGATTTTGCTCTTGAGATCTGAAGCAACAGTAGGGTGTTTCTAAGTTAGGGTTGCCAGCTCTGAAACAAACACTTAAATTGAAAAGGCAAACTGAAAACAAAAACTGGGAAAAATATGCTTTACATTGTTCTTGACTTAGATAATTAACATTATTCTAAGAATACACTGAGTTACCTTGCTCTAATAAACGAGGCACATGCTTTTATCCCAACTTTCTTTAACATGTTCTGCTTCCAGGCCTTGGAGTCTGCACATTTCTCCTTGCCTGTCCATTCCAGTTCTCCTGAAGTGCAGAGGAATTCTTTCACTACGTGGTTGCTGGGACAAGTCACTGCATTCTCCCCCTTTGTTTCTGCAGCGGGGCTGAACCAAGGGCCTTCCTTCTGGCCCTCTGATCTGTGAGGCTGCAGATTAATCTCTCTGCCAGTCGATGTTTTGAAACTACTATTACTTACACAAAGCTCTTCAGACTGACTTAGATTTGCTTCTGGAATGACCAATGGAGACAAATTCTGTAGAAGGCTCATATAAACTTCAGCAAGTAACTTCCAGAACCAGGGATTAAAAGGATGTAAGCAGATCAGTTGCTGCAGACACATCATCTTTTTTTCTACATTTTCCAGACCCTGGTAAATGGAAAACTGCAGGTTGAGAACCGTCGTTAAGTGATCTGTGTTAGTGGCGCTGTTTCTCTAGAAACAAAAGAAAAGAGGTTAAAAACAGGAGTAGAATAGAATTATGCTTCAGAGCCTAAGAAAATGTCTCCCTAAATAATGACATACAAATATCACAAGGTAATTTTTAAACTGTACAAAATGGTGCTTTTAATTTAAAATGATACAGTGGGATACAGATCTTGCACAATCAAGCTGACAGCATTCCCTCTAGGTGCCTTGTCCCAGTCTGAGAGGCAAGCAGGTCCTAAATGCTGTCATTTGTTTATGTCACATCAGAGTGTTCTAAAGCTGACTTTCTTTGCAGCATAAATACCTTTTATACAAAACAAAATAATCAATAATATTCTAGCAGACTTCAGAGCCTCTGGAATTTTTCCTTTATGGGAAAAACTCAATTTGTGGTTAGATACTCTTCTTGGTGGCAGTTTGGTATCAAGTATAAGGAAATAAAAGGGAGTTTTGAACTGTCACTTGTATAGTGGAAAGATTTAAGCACTCATTTATTCCCTTTTTTATAATTCCTATTACATTGCATTAATTCTGCCTGGCAGAGCATGATATTTAGTCCCTTCCAGGACTACCAGTTTCCCTGCACAGGGAGCTTATTGTGGTACAGGGTGTTCCAGTTTCTAAAGAGTGATTATATCTGCAGTGACAGTTACCCTCTGTTTACCAAATACTCTGAGCACTGAACATCCTGAAGGATTATGCACATGAAAATTATTTTTCCAAAAAATGGTCCGTATAAAAGAACTACTGGCAATGTTTTTATGTTCAAAGCCTAAAAGAAAGGCTGCACATATTTACCATTTTTTCTGCAATATCCAGAGCCTCCTTGTGCCTTCCCAGGCGAGATAAACACCGAGCCTGGCCCTCCTGGACATCACGCCTCATTGCAATGTTGCTGGCAGGTAAGAGCAGCAGGCAGTCTGAGTATTCACACAGGGCTTTCTAGGAGTGTGACAGGAAGAAAAGCCAAAAAAACAGGGAGAGATTTGCATTTAAAAGCAAGCCTGACAGCACATTTCCTTTAGGACTACAGTCACAAAGGGAATTCAGAACCTGAAGTCCACATTTGCATTTCTCCAGACTCAGCTACCACCTGTGTGAGCAAGAGACCAGGCCCAGTACCAGACAGCCAAGCCTGGACGGTGATGAGCAGCCTCAATCCCAACTCGTGCTTAGGCCCAAGCAGGATTCACCACACATCTGTCCACCTCTCTCCCACCACGCTTGATCCAGAAGGGATCATCTACTGACCTGGGTAATAAGTGACACAAGGCATCTTTCCCCCCAGCTCAGTGATCTGAGAACTCACCCTAAATCTGTGGGACCTTCTTTCAAAACTATGACAATCTCCATGGGAAGGTTTGAACCTGCAAGTACCTCACCTCAAATAACCAGTAAGTCAGAGAACACCAGAAGGAAGGTGAATCTCCATTGTTCCTGTAGGCTGGTTTTAATGTACTTGAAATAAATATTAATTGGGGTAAGGAAAAAGGCAAGAATGAGCAATACTTCTGCAGCTTAATGCTCAGGGCACTCACCAGGACTCCAATTAACATTTAAATACGTTAAATTAAGTATTCAGTGAAGCTAAGTCTGGAATCTTGATTTCTCTCCCTTTGTGTAAGTGCTTAGAGAGAAGACTAAAGAGCAGCGCTCATTCTCCCATCTCTCAAAATGATTATTTAATTATTCCTTGCAAACTTTAATGGTTCTAACAGAAAGAGCTTCTAAATACCCTAAATACTTCCTAGCAAAACGGCTGAAATATTTTTCTTTCCTGATGCTGAGCTCACATTCATTCTTAAGCAAAAGAGGGAGCTCCCCCCTGCCCAGTGCATGCAGCAGCCACTGGTGAAAATGGATCACAGGGCTGAGGACAGCCCTGTTTGCCTTGTTATGTGACAAAGGATATAACCTGGTAAGGTTCAGGCATTATGAATCCCAAGCAGATTCTACAGTCATCTATATCCTAAAAACGGGCACAGCTCAGATCACTGCTGTCCTTGACATCTCCTATCAAGTGGCCTATCCTGAAGTAAAAAACTGATGATGAGAAAAGAGATCACTATCCCTATTTACGTATTTCCAGCCCCCTTTCTGAGATCAATGCTTCCAAATCAGTAATTTTATGTGCAATCAAGCTCTGGTTCTTGTTCCAGCAGTGATTTAGGTTAGCAATAAAACTGAAAACATTTCTAACATGAATCACTGCAACAGAAGAGTTAGGAAGCAATGGTCTGTTCTGTTTAGCAGCTAGTCTGACCTGTTTAGCTACCAGCCTGAGGCAGCTCTGCCATCAGCACCCTTTTATGAATCCCTTTAGGGCATCTCAGCTGAGACTAGAAAATATCTGTCAGGTATACACAGGGCTGCAGTAGTGCTGAAATAACATTAGGATCAGTGCCAACCGAGGTACAAAAAGATCTACAAATCCAGTGGGCGAGGCCAAAGGAGTAGAGTCAGAAGTCAGCTGGAGGGCTTTGAAATCAGAGAGCCTGTAATACAAACCATAGGCTGCAAGAAGAAGCAACACCTGAAACAAGGCCTGAAGATGCTGATTTCAACAAGGAAACAAGGTAACGAAAGACCATATCCTGCAACTAGCACTGCAGAAGGCAGGAGAGCATCGCTGATGAGGAAAGCGGCTCAGGACGCACACACAGAGAGCAGCGCTCTGGGAGCACTGCGGGCAGGGGCAGACACGGGCAAAGACAGCCGGGGCGAGCGGAGGCGGCAGGGACCCGGCACAAGGCAAGCACAAGGCTCCGCAGGAGCCTGAGGGCACTGCAGCTTTCCTCTGACAGCGCCGAGAAAGGTGAGCCGCAGCCAGCGATCTGACAGCCTGCGTGCGACACGGCATTATCGCCGGGCGCAGAGGCACCCACACGCCTGACTCTGACCACGGCTTCCCCGGCCTCAGACACCCTCAGACACCCTCTCTGCCCCGCGGCGGAGCTGCTGCCATGCGCCCGCCTGCCTGGGATCAGTTCCGGGGCAGCGCCGCGTTCCTGCCCGGTTCGCTGCAGGCTGACTCCCGGATGGGTCGTGGCAGAACGCAGATCTGCTCCCCGGCCCTGCCCGTTCAGCACGAACAAGGAGCGGGATTAACTCCGGCACGGCCGCCAGACCCGCAGGCCGCGGTACTTAATGTACCTTCACCCTGGCGCTGTACACTGGGGACCGCAGGACCGCCCCACTCCGTGTCCCCACAACCTCCCCGGCACCTGCGAGCGTCCTGGAAATACCTCGAAGTCCCGCTGCCGGAACGCCCAGTCCGCCCGGAACTTGCTGCTCGTGATCCCGCCGGCGCTTTCCCCCGCGTCAGCCGCGCTGTGGAACCACTGCGGGCACACAGAGCACACACAGAGCCGTCACGGGCCGCGCTGTGGAACCACTGCGGGCACACAGAGCACACAGAGCAGTTACGGCCCGCCCTCCCGCCGCCCCGACTCCTCACGCGGGGCTCGCAGTGCCTGGCTCCGCACGGAGCGCCGTCCCCGCCGCCCTCCCGCCGCTCCCGGCTCGGCGCGAACAGGGAGTCCTCGAACTCCGGGCCCAGCGCCGGCTCCATCGCCGCCGCCGCCGGCCCCGCTCCGCGCAGGGGGAGGAGCTCGGTCACCGCTCGGCGAAAGGGAAGGAAGTGCTTCCAGTAACGAGCTGGATTACAGTCCCGCGCCTTGGTAAATTAACTGCGTGGTTGTGGAGGTGCTCTGTTAGCATCTCGTCCTGGTGGCCGTGCATAGGATGAGTGGGAATGTGTTTTGGTAACTTTTCCATTTAGTTCACTTCTGTCTCGAAGCAGAAGATGTGAACCTGCTCTAGGTGACCCTGCCTTGGCAGGGGGTTGGACTGGATGACCTCCAGAGGTCTCTTCCAACCTTAAAAATTGTGTGATTCTGTGAAATTTCAGGCTTTCCACGACAGGCTTTCCCAGAAGACACTGTGCTATGGAAATCGGGGACACAGCAAGGCGAACCCTGATCCCAGACCTCCTTCAGGGTGCCGAGACTCAGGCACCGGCTGCTCTCTGAGAGCTGTACGTGCCCCGGCTGCCTGCCCTGCTGTGCTGCTGCTGTGCACAGTGCGCTGTGTTTTAGGGGGCTGCTGTGCCGGGCTGTTTCCTCTCTCCAGTCCGTCCATGCAGGAAGGTCCATTTTGTCCCATCTAATCACCACTCAGGTTTGGAGAAGGTGAGCTGAAAAGTACTTCCTTAGCCTGCAAAATGTGCCAATGAATTTGTCTATACCAAAACACCTTTTGAGGTCAAAGCAGTGCTTGTATAGATGATTTTAAAGGTTTCCTACTAGAATGCATGTAAAACGTGGTTTGCTTTTGTTGGGTTTTTTTTCTTTTTATGTTCTTAAAATACTCTTCCATACCAACAGAGCTGTGACTGGATGTAGAATGACCTGGCATAAATGTCAGGGTAGAAACTCAACTTTGGTAGTTGGATTTGATCAGAAAAATAAAAGCAGATTAATGTTTATTTTGCTTGTAAACTTGCTGGTTGGCAAACAAGCCCTCCAGCACAGAGAAAACTGTTCAGCAATTAAGTCTTGAGAGAATCAGGAGTTTACTTGACATGCTTCAGTCTTTCTGTTAAAAGTATCAAGGTAGGTGAGGACAGTCACTTGTATATGCACATCAAAACCATCTGGCTTCCTCCTGCCTGCAGAAAGGCAAGCAAAGCACGTGGGGGGCAGACTGGGGAGGTTGGCACAAGTGTCGGAACAGTTTCAGCACCTGTAGTGCTCCTCACATACACTGGACACACACGTTCCCTTTCCCCCTGCTCCAGGACTGCAGGTCGTGCTGCAACACACCGGTCTGATGAACAAGGCACAAAAATCCAGAAAGACAGATAAGCACAAATCAAAAATAAGAAAATCCAAAAAAAAAGAACATGAGTAATCAAAGTGAAATGGCCACAGCTCAAATGAAAACACAAAAAGCAAGGCATTCCCAGGGGCAAATCCCACAGCAGCTGCTTGGCTGCCAGCTTGGATTGCAGAGTCCTCTAGGGCTGGGGGTTTTGACCATCGTTTCTTCTGAGGATACCAACGTGGTCTACAAAAGGCTCTGTGTTGCAATGCAGAGAATGCCTTTGTCTGGTAAATCAGTGATAGGAGAGCCACGATTCCCAGTGCCACACAGGGGGCCTAGCAGCTGACTTGTGGTTTCAGTAAGTCATGGGCAAAGAATTGCCTCTCCATTTCTTCTTTCCCTGGCTCTTCCTTGCCCCTGCCTCCCCTCAAGACATTTAAAAAGCTTAAAAATATATTAGTTACAGAAATGAAAAAATGCAACTTTAAGACATCCCTCTGCCTTGTCAGCACCAGAGGTTTGCTCAATTTCTCCCCCAAGTTCCAAGCCATCCATGTAGCTGCCAGAAGACAAATTCTCACCGTACTTAAGTAAAGCTGTTTGCCCGAGTTTGCATGGCATGATTTGCCTTCATGCTGTTAGCCCTGGCTTCACAGAGGAGAAAACATCATCCCTGGAAGAGGCAGCTTTGAGGGAGCTCAGATACATGAGCCCTACAAGAGCCTGTGCTGCTGCAGTTGCTCTGTGTAGGCAGCTTCAGGGATAAAAAGAAGCTATAGATGAATCTCTCCCTGAAGGCAGCCAAGGTCTCACTCCACTACAGGCCACCGGCTCGGCACATGAACACTGCCCCAATGAAAGTGGGCTCTAGTAAGCTGTGGCCTCCAGGCGAGTTCTGTGCATCAGCAAAGCCATTGTGGCTGCTCACACAGCGTGCCAGTGCTGAGGGGCTGTGACCCAGCTTTACCCTGGGTGAGTGGGGGCACACTGGGAAGGCCAGTGTGCTTCATCTGCAGTCAGGGTGCCCAGAGACAGCCCAGGCTGTGAACACAACTCCAGCAACAGGCAGGGTTTTTCCATGATGTCTATTGCCTGGATCTTCTGGGCAGGAAAAGAAAACGAAGCAAGGAAGAGAGAGTTTGTCTAACACCCTTGTTCTCCACATTTCCTTGTCTACTCTGAGGCAAAATTAATTCAGAAGAATCCTCCTCCAGTGTTTCTGTAATTACTGATGTTGTTATTTGTATTGTGATAGTCTCCATGGGTCCTAGCCACGTGGGTCTTATGCCAGCACAGACACACCACAAAGGCTTCAGAGACCATCGAGCACACACAGCAGAAACCCCAGTCAGCAACTAGGACCCCATCTGGTAGGCACTACCCACACACACTGACCAGGAATAATGCAGCTCATATGGCCTTATTAAAATATACTGGAAAGAAGCTGCCTTTAGAAAAAAGCAGAAGAGAGAGTAGTTTTCTCCTCAAAGCAAAAGAGCTGCCTGTAATGAAGAGGCCAAGATCCACAGGCAGCATTCCTCAAAGGATGGGGTGGCTCCTGAATTAAGTGGATTCTTTCAGACATTGTGAAATATTCACATCTTGAGGGAAGATTAGTTTTCTTATTGGATAGTCCTAATATACGCTCTTCTCTAAACACACTCATGAAAGGAGAAGAGCAGCTCTTTATTTGCTGACATTTGTCTCACTGTATCCTTTTCTCTTACCTTTTATTTAGATTAAAAGATCTTTACAGCAGAAGCCATCTTTCATCTTCTTTGCATGATGTCACACATAAGGGGATATTGTCCATGACTACTGGGAGGGTAATACAAATAACATTTCATGGTTTGGGGCAGACAGAGGTTATCACTACTACAAACTGCAAACAAAAAAAGCTCTGATGAGCTCAGATGAACTCTAGCATAACTTACAATGATGACAGTTAGTTCTAGTTCTACTTCAACACAACAAAAATTGAGTGGGGAGGTGAGCAGTGCATTGTGGAAATCAAAGAGAGTGAACTGTTCATTGTCAATAGAAGTCAAAAGCTTCTTAGGCGTTCTTAGGACAGACAGGAGAAGATGCATCCCCCAAAAGAGGGTTCATTTGCCTGCTCTACCTTAAGACAGTGCAACCTTTCAAGCCCCTGGCAAGACATATTAACTAGGCCATAATCCCTCTCCCTCAGGTCTCACAAAACCCAATAAAGTTGTTATTGCCAAAAGAGTGCACTGCACACAGATGTGTTCAGCTATTAATGGGTTTTGCAATTATTTTCTGTCCAGCAGGATAAATGATGAGCAGAATGAGTACGCCCTTGGGTTTGACCAGAAGGCTGTTGAAAAGTAAAGAGCAAAAAAGCTTTCTGGAAAGACAGAAGGAAGAAAGTGATCAAGTGCTAGAAGGAATCCTAAAGCAGTGAACTTCCCAGGCAAGCTCACACATTTCCAGTAGAGATGTGATCTTGTGTCTGAACTGCTCCACTCAGCCATGCAGTACAAGCACTGAGGTTGTACCTCGATGGTCTGTGAATACAAAAGTCATGGCAAAGGGTGGTATTGCCAGTCTACTGCTGTAACTGGAAAAACAGCCAGCAGAGTCCCAGGCTGGGCATGGTGAGGTTCATATGCCTCCTTCTACACCCTTTTTTCAGTTTTATCAGTTTTTCTGAGAACTCATTAACTTGCCCTGGCCACTGTTATGCTTGTTGCTTAATTGCTACTTATGATGAAACCAGGCCACAGAGACCACAGTGGATTTGTTACTTCTCTAGGTTAAAACTTTCCTACTGCAGTTTTCAGGACTGGGCAGGACCAAGCAACACTGGTGGCAACTCCTCTAGGACACCATTTAAGACCTTTTTTTGTAACAACACTAAATAAACTGAGCTGACTTACTACAATATTGCTGTCTAGCAAGAACAAAGAGAAACAAATCAAAAGAATTAGAAAAAAAATAAGGTATACTGAAGAAATACACCCAGGGCTTCAGGCCTGCCCTTAAGTGGCCCGCACAACTCACAAGTTTTTTCAGGCCTTGCTCTGTTTTTCCATATGGAGGCTGCCTCCACATGGGAAACAACCAAACTGTTGATTCTGCAGTGCCTCATTTCCCATACAGCTTTTGCACTGCTGGAGAGGACTAGTGGAAACTGCTATTAAATTTAGCTTCTATGTCTTCTTATTGCCTTATGCAAGTAGCAGTGCCTGAAGAAAGTGAGTCACAGCAGAGGGAAAGCACTGCTCAATGAACACATGCAAACAAAACGCAGAAATCCAGGACAGACTTTGCCCACAGTTGTTCCCCTCCCCCAAAAATTGCACTTGAAATGCATTTAGAGCAAAGAAAACTTAAAACATACATAAATGATGCAGATTTTCACTTTGTGGTATCTCCAGGAAAAATGATGAACCCCTTCCATAACACCACATCTGTGGGGCTCCAGTTCTGCATGTTGTGGGTTCCCAGAAATTGCACAGAAATTCTTGCAGCTGGACTTCATCTGGAGGCTCTGGCCAGCTGCTGGAAACTCCAGAACTGAGAGCAGTTACAATTGCAATACTATTTGTACCATCTCTGGTTCAGAACATGTCATTATTACAGGCTATTCTGTGCGCTCTCTTCCTTGTTAGTCCCTTAGGACAGGCTTTGCTCAAGTTATGGCTTTTCCTCTTTGGCTCTCATTTAGGAAAACTGAAGATCACTAAGAGGAGAATTACTGCCAACACTGACCTTTATTTTCACCCAAAGAGACAAATCAACTAGGTGTGACACACATTTTCATTCCCTTTTTCCATCTTTTCTTTCTTCTGCTAAATACTTTAAGGTAATGAAGATCAGCTCAGCACTGAACCTGTAAAGAAACACACAGGGGGGAGAAATTAGTCACAATGCTAATAGTTCCAATAATAGCAGTAGAAACATATATTCAAATATTTCATTTTAGAGTATTTGAAGTGCAACAAGTCATTTAACCACCAAAAATGTTAGAAACCATGATCTATCTGAGACTAGGGACCTCCACCAGTATTTCAAAGCGACACCAAGCCCACAGGGAACAGTTTATAGAGGGGACTTTCTGGCATACAAAAGAAAAAAGGCAGTACACAAAGTGGTTTGGTATTTTAAATTTGCAGAAGTAGTAGTTGATAGTATTGTTGTGAAAACAAATGTAAGCTGAAAGATGCTGGGAAGGGGCTTGGAAAGGGGAGACAACTCACAAGGCCAGCTGATCTCTTGTGAAAGTATCTACTGAATTGCAGCATTTTGGAATTGCCGATAACACTGTAAACAAAAAAGATACCTTTAGACAAAGGTTACTGCATGCATAATCTGGTGCTTCTTCTAACTCCCTCTTTAGCTGATGGATTCTTGAAAAAGCATTACGTTTACCCAACCAAGTAAAACTATTTGGCCAAACACCAAGCTCTGGTGACAACTCTGGTCCTGTGCTTAGGTCACTACTTCAGCTGGAGATGTCATTTTTCAGACTAATATTAACTACAGCACAGGAACAACTTTCTTGCTTTAAACATCTTTTTTTTTTTTTCCTTAGGTCACTACTTCAGCTGGAGATGTAATTTTTCAGACTAACATTAACAACTTTCTTGCTTTAAACATTTTTTTTTTTTTTTTTTTCTGGGGGTACATGTGTAAGTACAATGCCAGATCCTGCAGGAAAATCCCAGGCTCGAGTTCCTCCAGTTGCAGCTCAACAGCTGGAATAGGCGGGTGTCACACCAGTGGCACTGCCTCCGGCAGGGAGCGGCTGGGAGTGACGGCACCTCGGGCTCCCGGGAGAAGGACAGAGCTCAACAGCAGCTCTTTCCTCAGACCCTTCTTGTCTCAGGAAAAGACACGTTACAGCAGCCTGTCCAACCGACAGGAACCTACTTCAGTAAGGAGACGGTTCCTACTCACCCCTACTCTTCCCACCCTGAATATTTAAATGCCATAATAAAAAGCATCTGCCCGAATGAGAAAAATCCCGTGAAGGTCCCTGGGCGGCTGACACGGCAGAACAGCTCAGCAACGAGCAGCTGTACTGACTCACACGTGAGGCTGACCTCACACTGGCTGGTCAGCCAAGGCAGTTCTCCAAATGCAGTGCATCTGAGGAATTGATGAAATTCCATTTTGTGTAACAGGGAAAATGATATTTCAGAAGGTCTGGTTTGTGACATTTTCATACAGACACGACTCTTGGTTTCCACACCACCTCTTAAACCCACGCACACTCAGTAAGGAGACATTTATTCCATTATTTCAAATGTTTTCAAATTTTTGGTACAAAGTTTATTTTCAGAAGTTCTCACATGATCCTTTCTTCTACCAGCGTCTTTAGGATTTTTCTATCTCTGATTTATTTTCTTTATCTGTTGAAGCAAAAGCAGTAATTGCTACAGAAAGAAATAATGGCAATATTACAAATATTTTACAGCAGCATCCATTCGTTTCTTTGCCTCAAAAAAATAACAAAAATAAATCCAAAGACAAGATCCATACAGCCACAAAGGCTTAGGTTTGTAATATCCAGAAGTATGCTGCATTCCCATATACGAGTTGTACAAGTCCAGCACAACTTTCCAAGTTTGTGCAGAGCCTGATAAATAAGACACAGAAATATCAGTTACATTATACTGTTTCTAAGAACTTTTACTCTGTAAAATGTTTGGTCACTCAAAGCTATAAGCTTAATCACTTATCAAAGAACACAGGCAATAAAGCCCATCTTACTAAAACATATAGTATTAGGCCAAACAAAATATAAGAGGACAAAATCTAGTGGTCACTGAAGCCTCTTCAAAAAGGTTTAAAACAGAATGTTTCCATCATGTATCAGAATAAAAACGTACTGTATTAAAATTTGATTTTTTTTTACAAGCTGTCTTTTAATCAGTCCTCTATTTACAGTGCAGAACTGCCAACTGCAGTAGTTTAACTTTGGCACAACACTAAGTTCCAATCCTTTTGAGTATTCAAGTCCTGTGTGTGTCCAAAAATTTTCTTGGTTTCACGAAAGATTAGGCCCATTCACAGTTAACCAGTTATCTTGAAATTTTTCAAGAATTGCTTCCCCTTCACCACACTGGGCAGCTACAAAGGAAAGACATTGTAAGCTATTGCATCATTCAAAAGAAACTCTTCATTCTAAACAGTGACAGTATTGTTGCTTCCTTTAATATCACGTACACCAGACAGATCACACAGACAGCTACATACTGGACACCTTTCTAAAAACCTTGCTGGTCGTTAGTGAATCATCTTCCTCATACTTCAAATACATAACAATGCATTAACTTAATTTCATTTCACATGTCAAACAGGACATTTAAATATATTGCAATATATTATAGAAAATTGCAAAGCGCCATCATTTCTGTAAACGAGACTGACACCTGTTAACTCTCCTGTGCACATGAAGAGCAGTACCTAGTGCCACATTTTCTATACAATATAAAGCCTTCCCAGGTAGGGCAACTCATTTTAGTGCATTTCTGTACAGACTGTAAGCATACATGCAGATAGCCAACTATGCAGGGTTGGAAATACTTTTGTAAGCTGAAACTGGAAGATGGGGTTAAGATTCTGAAATCACAGCAGAGCTCTTGTGGTTGATCATTTCATAGCACAGATGAGGACTTGACTCTTCTGTCATTCTAGCAGATTCTTTAGGGACAGTTTCATGACAGGTATCTAGTATTGAATAAGCATAAGGAAATACTTTCATCAACTGGGACACAAATACTCTGTGTCCTAACACATTCTAGGTTATGCACAGTCCAATGTTCACACAGTAACTTTAAAATACTTGAGAAAACCCAAAGCATTTTTATGCCACAGTATTATAACCAAGGATCAGTTACTTTATCCACCACTGTAGTGCTACCTGCTCTAAATAAAAGAAGAAAAAAAAAAAGGGCCTCATTTCCCAACAAGCATCAAGTTGGAAGCAGAGGTCAGTACCACTGCTAAGCACAACACAAAGCTCAGTGCTACAATCCAGCCAGAAGATCTCTCTCTGTAATGTCAGATGTCTGTAGTGTCAGCAGCCACCTGCAAGTCAGGGTAGGTCAGTGGAGCTGGGGTGCAGTTCCTGTGAGCGACTCCAGGCATGCAGGACGAGCAGGTTTGCATTCCTTGCTGTGCTGACTACCTACAATGTCTTGCCCCAGTGCAGACATCAACATGCATCAGACAAATCCCACCTTAATTAATGAAAAGTGCTACAGAATGCTCAGTTATCCCTCTACATTTTGTAATGTTCTGTGAGTTGGTTTTGCAATGACTGTTCACTGAAAAGGTGCAGATGCTCTTCACCACAGAAAGAGAAAAATCCCCAAGAACTCCAACCATTAAACCTGGAAATACTGGCTATAACCCACCTGTGCTTCAAAATATCCCTTTTTAGAAGTGGGGAAAAAATGCAGAAATTCAAGTTATTGTGTGTTAGTAGCCATTAAGGGGATTTTTCACTTTCTGTTGAAATTCTTATTTCAAAATATTTTCCTACAGAATTTTAATACATCAGCAAACCTCAAGTAACTTGACCTGATAAGTTTGTGTCATGCTTCTTGGTAAATCTACTTATCCTAGGATATCACAAACTGGATGGAGAATACTGACATAACCTAGCACTGTTCAGTGTAAGGAACTGAATCCTCCACTAGCCCTTTCCATCTTTAATTTACACCATCATTCCAGGTATTATAAACAATTCTTAAAGTCCTACTGTTCTCTGATCACTGATACTATCTCTCTATTACTACTGAATGCAAGCAAAATTGTTTTCAAAGCAAAAAATAAATTAAAGAAAATAGCTATATTTAACTGCACTCTACTTTTGTGCCTTCAGGTTAGGGCAGGGATATTTAACACTCCAGAAGCTTAAAGATTATCTTCTCTCCTTGGGAGATATGAATATAGACAGGTATTGGACTCAGGTGGAGGACGCAAATCGGTACTACCATATTTACAGAAGCAAATACTGACATCCAGCCTGAATACACAGTACTCCGCTAAGTGCAAAAGGGAAAACACTCCCCACCTTAAACCACAGCCTGGTTACTCAGCAGCCAGAGATCAGCTGTCAGAGTTACTGCTGTGCTTTCACTTCAGAGGAAAACGGAGGAGGAGAATGTCTGCATCTTTGGGCTTTCTGGCCTACGGGGACCATGTACAGCCATGACTCACTTTGTATGGGGTCCAGAAATCCTTTCTTTGCTCTGTAGAGGGGAAGGGAGTGAATTTGCCTGCCTCAAGCATTTCTTGGAGAGAAAAAGAAAATCTGCTTTTGTTCAAGGTGAGCAAATAATCCATTAGAAAATTATTTCATGTCATGTGTGGACACTGTATGAGTTTTCCAATAATCAAAGTTACAGTCAGTAACACTGAATTATGAATTACAGTTCATAATGTAATGTTTTCAACATGGTAACAGACAAGGTTAAAAAAGTTCTAGAAAAGTAAATTCTGCAGGGCAAGCAAAAGTCAGAGCCTTCAAACTTCTGTGTTTTCCCTTCTGCTTTCCCTTCACTTCTTACAAGCCAGCACTGTTAGTTCATTCAAACCTCCAGGGGAAAATAGGCCTGACTTTCTTTTTTCCAGCACTAACTTTGGGGTCATTGAGAGGTGATACTGGGAAGACAGCACTGTTTAAGATGGAACTGTGCTCTCTCACTACACTCAGAAGCGAGGGCGAAACGTGCGGTGAAGCAGGACAATACTGTGATGGTGGATGTTGTCCCTGGTTGTAACATTGTTTTCTGTCTTTTAGCTCTTTTCCCTCTCAGGATTGTGTGCATTTTCTATTTAGCTGAATTCCAGAGACAGCACAACTTGCATCATGAGAACAGATAGTGCTGGCAGAAACAGTAGATGAAGAGAAATGCACTAGCTTAGCTCTAAAGGAACTGATGTTCACAACTGAATTCTGATGTAGTGGTCCCAACGAAGACTGAGAAACCAGCCACCCAGAGGGAATATCTAAGCAAGATCAGAGTTTCTTTGTCTCAGTGTCAGTGACAATCACTGAAGCCTAGCCCTTAATGAGCTCAAACCTAAGCAATGAAGCTCCACAGAAATGCAGAAAACATACCACAGGTTCATCTAGACACAGTCCTTACCATGCAGGAAAATCAACAGTCACGTGGACATTCACTCCTGGGCAGATGTATTTTCTTTCCCCTTCCTTTCCCACTGCCAGCATAACTCAGTCCAAATGGCTTCCAAAACACCTTGGAAGTGTGCATAAGTTGTAAGAGGGACCCAGGCTTGCAGGGGTGCACTGCTGATAAGCACAGAGGTGCTTGGAATCATAATAAATTAAGACACTTGCTGATGTGCTTAAGTTCAGGGAGTTTCCTGGATGCGACTGGTAGAATGAGAAGGTGCCATATCCTTTCACCCACCAGGCCATCTCTGTTTCTCTCAGTGACTGTGCAGTGCCCACAGCAGCCTAAGGGTGGCTGAGATGAATCTGGGCTAAACCACTGTTACCAGCAGCTTTGAGTTCCCACCAGCCATGACCACAAATCAGAGGTACAACTGACCACAGCACTTTCCAATGCTTCCCCTGTCAGTCCTGACACAGGAAGCCTCTGGAGGGAATTTGCCTCTCTGCCAGTACACAGTGCAAATGTACATATGCTGTAAACATGAAACACACTGGTAATTAATGGACTCTTCAAACAGAAATAACTGTCAGACTATGGGCAATAATGAATGCATACAACTTCTGTCTTCAGGCTGAACGTACCCAGATTTTCCTCATCCTTGGCACAACTGAAGGGCTTAAAATGTGCACGTAGCCCAACATGCTATGTGTAGACTCTGCATCTCTCATTAGCTGATCTCTCATTAGCACATAGTTTAGTTTAAATTTTATATCCTCCAAAGAGATAATTTTCTAATTGGGCCGTAAATACTGGTATAACCAGTGGAATACATGTAACTCTAATATTTACAACAACCGAAAATCTGGCCCAGTATGCATCAGTCACTGTCTCTGACCATTCTACTGAAAGAAGACCTCCAATCCAACTATATTTAGTCTGATAAACAATGTATTTCCTCTTCCTGTGTTTTTCAGACAAGATGTGCTAAGGCCTACCTTTGTAGCTGAGTGTTATTTAATAGAACACTGCCAAAGTGGAAAATATTCGCAGTTCAATCACATAATTAACTTTGATCTTTGTCTTTTCCCCCATTTTTTAAAGACAGAATTCCTAGCTAACCTAAATAAGGCTCTGTTAACAAAAATGGAGATATTTATTTGGACAAGCTGCTTGGTTGTTTTGGGTTTTTGGGTTTTTTTTAAAGAAAATTAATTCTGGGTCAACTTCAAGGATTAAGGCAACTCCAGATTTTGCTTGCTAGAGGCATATTCCCAAGGATTTGGTTTAATATTTTTGGAAACTTAAAAATAGCATATTTTCCTTCTAGCTTTGTTCTTTCCTACTCAGCAAGCACAGATTTTTGACCCTGTATTCCCAACAGAGCTTGAAGCTAGCATGAGTCTTTCTTGTACCTGCTGGCATCTGCAACAGCACACTATTACCACCATCCACACTGTTACCACACAAATGAGAATCCCTCCCAACCCCATGCTGAAAAGGCCAGATCTTGATCTCTTTGTACCACCTCACATGCAGAGTCATAAACACTCCTGTGAAATATGCTGACAACATGGGGTTGCTTCTGCCCCAATCCAAAGTTAAAATGAGGGATTCTTGGCTATCCCTCCCTAGTAATGCTGGCCACTTTGTGTCTCACCAACTTGAGCCTTGGAAGCCAGGGGATATTTTCATCATCAAATTCATGACATACACCATAAGCTATTACCTTTTTCTCCCCAATAATCTTAAAGCAGAAGAGGTAACCCAGTAAATGGCTTTCCTATGAAACATCCTCCTGGAGCCCAGGGAGCTTATTCAATCTGTGAGCAGAAGGGCAGCTACAAGAGTCCAGAGAGGAAGGTCTGGGAGGTTAACAATATTTTTTGTCAGACATTACTCCCTTTCTTACTTTAGCCTGGTCTTCACCCACAATCAGATATGAAAACCAGATCCAACATGGACTCCTGTGCTTCACAAAATCATGACTAAAAGGACTTCCTTGGTTTTCTTGAGTTATCACAGTCCAGAAGAAAGACTAATTCTAAAATCCTAGCATAGGTTCTTGGAGATGGGGAGACATTAGGTCCCATTTTCTCTGCACTAATCTGTCCTCATTAGTCATCAGATGCAGAAGCCTACAGAGAAGATGCTGTCAGATGTGCAAAAGGAGATTGCTAGTATCCATTAGCGCCAATGTAAAAGCAGACAGTGCTGGTGACAGCAGCACCAATTCATCGCCATCTTTTGACATCTAAATATAAAGTAACTTATCCCTAAAAATGCAGTCTGACAGTAGCAAAAATACAAACTACTCTTCCTCAGAGTAACAGTTCTCTAGAATGCCAAACAACTGCCTAAACTAAATTTGTGTGAATTTGGCCCATTGCTTTAAGTTTCTAATTCAAACTACATTATAACTTCACAGTATTGAGACCAAATAGTTGTTTTTTTTTCTATTTTATATACACTTATTTAAGATGGGAATGTTTTATATCAGATTAAACTACTTCTGGAGTCCAGTTCAGGTAGATCAAACCACCTCCAGCAATAGGTGTGTTCACCCAGCAGTCCTGTGAGCGATCAGCACAGTGCTGAGTTCAATTAGGATGTTTTACAGTTAAACCTGCACACAAATCACTCAACTGGGCTATCACTGAAGAACAATTCAACACTCACGTGTTTGTAATTACTAAGCATCTAAAAGTCATATAACTTCATTTTGTTTGTGAATTATACACCATGTCATTGCCGCAACTTACTTAAAAACCTTTCTTACTAGTACCAAAAGATGTTTTTCATCTCTGTATCTGTGTATTCTTACAAACCCCTAGGCAACTCTGAACAACTTTTAGGCAGTTTTTTCTTCTGTTAACCTTAAAACTCAGTGTCAGATTTCAAGAAATTTCTCTCTTTTTTTTTTTAAATATAGATACTTCTTTTACCATTTACAACAAAGGAAAGAATGCACAAGGTAGAAGTGAGTGTTACTATTAACTGCATCAAGTCTGTCAGGCATTTAAATTAGATTGATGTGGGATACACTGACTGTAACAAAAAACATCTTCTAGCATCAGACTCATTCAGTTAGCTCATAATTATCAACAAGGAACACTTCAGTCCAAGTTCTGTAAACCCAAAACACTCTGAAGATATGCAAAAGGTGAAGATATCACCTTATTTTCTGAAACCAATCAATCCTCACCCCTAGGTTCATTGGTTCCTTTTGTCACACTTTTCCCCTTCTCTTTTGTTTTCAACGCTTTCCTTAAGAAATAAACTCAAGCCTTGAAACCTTTCAGATGAAGTGATGTTTGCAAAAAGACATCTAATGTTTTTTGCATCCTTCACAAGCAGGCAATGTTCTCTTACAGCAACAACAACATAAAAAGTGTCTGTGGTTTTTTTGGAATTAAACAACATAAGGCAATTAAATACTGAGAAGCAGTCACGTGTATGATGAACATGAACCTTCCATCGTAGTGTGGAAAAGGAGGAGCTGAACTTGATCTGATTTGTAACCCCCTGTCCCAGGCCAGGCCTGAGGATGTTCATCTCTTGTAGCAACAAAGCAAACAGTTCTTGCCTGCACAGGTAGCATCTTGCCCATGTACTCTTAGGTGGAAGGAAGATGCTGAGCAGCTGCTTGCTAAACTGAAGGCCATGAAAAATCATTTGGCTCTTCACCATAACATCAAACCTAATTCATAGGTTTTTGGCCCCCAAATTCCAAATTGTACATCAGTCTGTTTTTGAAAGTTTACGTTTAACATGTCTGGGCGGTTCCCAAGTATCACTATCATCTGTTTCTTCCTCATCCTCCTGATCATCCAGCATTTCATCTTCTTCCTCATTCTCATCAAACAGCTCTATTCCAAGTTCTAATCTTCTTTGCCTTTCTGCAAACCATTCTCTGACCTGCTCATATCCCATGTGAGATTTGGCTACCAGTTCATCAAGGTCTTGCTCATTAAGGAATTTGTGCTTCATATAATAGTCCTTCAGGATTGCTGTTCCAGTTTTAAATTTTATGACAGATACACCTCTGTCCCAGCAATTTAACCTCTTGCTTCCCCGAGGCCTCCCCCGAGGCCTCCCTCTCCCCCTCCCTTTTGGTCTTCCTCGCCCTCTCTTCCTTGCAAAGCCTTGGCCATTCAGACTGTTTGCACTGGCACTCTGGTAATAGTAGTACCATTTCAATCCACCATTTTTCCAGGCATAGCGAGTATCTCCAAACCAGCTCACAATTTCTGATCTTGGAAGCCCAGTTTCTTCTGCCAGCTTGTTGTATTCTTGTGGAGATGGCCACTGAGTACGGACAAAGGAACTTTTGAGCATGTGCAACTGCTCTGGTGACTTTTTGCCGATTTTGCTTGAAGTAGAACACCCTGATTTTGTTCCTGCTGCTCCATCTCCCACAGATGTTTCTCCAGACTCCTCTTTTGAGCTGCCAGCATTGCTTTCATTCATGTCAGCTCCCTCTTCCTTCAAGACATTTGATTTCCTTTTTTCTGTAAACCAGGCATCAATCTCTCTCCTGGTCAGTTTTGTTTGGGCTCTTAATCTATTCATCTCTTCTTCAGTAAGGACAGGGTTATTAAGAAAACTTGCTTGGAGGACTTGCAGCTGTTCAGAAGTCTTCTCTTTGAATTTCTGTGGGGTAAAATCAGGAAAAGTACCCCACGATGGCTTGCTCTGTGGAGTGACTCCTGTTGGAGATTCATTCATTTCATCACTTGAATCAATAACAATGGTGGCACATGAATCACTGTTGAGATGAATCCCATGATTATTCTTTGAGTTTCTCTGATTGTAGCGTGTATCACTGAACCACTTTTTGATCTCTCCTTTAGTGAGGCCTGTTATTTTCATAAGTCTAACAATTTCTGAGTCTTGAGGAAACTGGTTTTTAAGGTAGCTGACTTTCAATTCTGCCAGTTGTTCCTTAGTTTTTTTTGCTCGGATGCCAAAGGAGTCAGGATTCATCAGTGTGGATTCATTTTTGATAGGCTGAGGGGCTGGAATGGCAGCTGCTTGTTTGGTTTCTGCAACAGGCTGACCACTGTGAATCTGACTCTTCTGTAACTGTGTTTGGTTTGGGACCCCTGCTACAGTCAAAGCTATAGGAGCTGTTACTGGTAACGTATTTGTACCTGCAACTTGAGTGAGAACAAGTCCTGGCTGACCAACTATTTGGCATGTCTGCAAAATTGAAGGTAAACCATTACTAGCGGCCGAAATGTGTGCTGGGATAACGGTAATTGTCTGTGGCACAGTATGCACTGTGCCATTAAATTGTTTCCTCCTTGCTTCCTCCACCTCCTCTGGTGTCCAACTCACCCCGTGTTTCAGACGCTGAGCAGAAAACCATATTTTGATCTGCTCTTCCGTGTACTTCGCTTGAGAGGAAAGAACAGTGATTTCCGACATGGTTGGATACGGGAATTTGTTGTAGGTGTTAAGCAAAAGAGGATTGTTATCCAAAGCAGTGTTATAGGCTGGAATGCTATTTACAGGTATTAGTACTTTGGGAATCAGGTTTGAGTTCTGTGGAGCTGTAACAGCTGTTATAACCTGTGCCACCCCAGGCTGAAGCACTGGTGCCGGGGTCACTACTGCCCCAGCCACATCTGCTGCACTGCACACAACTGAATGGTTTGGTTTGGATTCAGAAACTGCCGGTGGGGGGTTTTCTACTACTTCTTCAGAGTTTGGCTCATTTTCAGTTCCCTTTTCTTCACCAGGAATGTCATCAACAACATTGTGGAAAACAGCAATACGTTTAGCCTCGGGTTTGCTTTTCATCATTTTCATGATAGGAGTTTTGCTAATGGAGATCCCTGATGAGGGGACCTCAGAAGAGTCAGCCTGTCCAGCGTTTTCTTCTCTAACAAAACTCCCATCAAAAGTGAGATCATTTACTGTCTGTTCAAAGATTGTCTGGTTATTACGTTTCACCATAGTCAACTTAAAATTCTCCTCTCCAGGGTGGTGCTTCAAATTATGTTCTGAGAGGGCATCGTATCTTTTGGTAAGGAAATTACATTCTAAACAAACATAGGATGAATTTAATACTACGTTGGGGTGTTCTGAATCCACATGAAAAGTAAACATATTGAGATCTGGAGTCTGAAAAGTACAGTATTTACACTCATAACCACCTTCTACTTTATTTGTGTTTTTCTTATTGTCTGAATCCGCATAGTCATGAACATCCTCATCACTTGTTACACCCTCTGCTGCAGGGTTATCTGCTGGTGTGAGCACAGGTGGTCCTTCCTCCAAGTCTGACACCATTTCTAGATCTGGATCCTGCTCATTGGCTAAGACCATGCAGGGTGTTGTTGATTTTCGTTTACTTGCCATGACTGTTACTGTGAAAATTATAACGACTGGTCAGATACAGACTTAGCTTCAAGCTCTTCTGGATTAATAATAGTAATAATAAAATAATGGCTTTCGGTACTTCAAGTCAGTTCTTGTAAAGTCTCAACATTTATCCCATTAGCAGCTTTTCTTTCGTAGTGCAATCAGATTAAAAACAGTTGAGAATGAGATGTTGAGACACACTGTTTTAAAGTCCACATCCACCACCTGTAGTAAAGAAGAGACAGTGGAATTAGTTTAATTTAAATAATAATTTCTATTTTGCTACATATTACAGTTTAAGGTAATTCAGTCCTTTGGGGTTTAGTGTGCCACTGCTCATCCCCTGAAACCAGCAGACCCACTCCAAGAAGAGATAACTGAAGCTATGATAAGAAAGGCAAAATCCAGTCCACTTATTACAGGCTGAAATTTGTTTCAGTTCATGTTAATTACAGTGACAGACCTAAACAACAGAATGGTGTAAAACAGGTAACTTCCTGACTGTTTCCCTTGCTTCAAAAGCTTTTTTCTTGGCACAGTGCTGAGGTCAGTCTTGCCCTTGGATTGCTTTTCCTGAGCTACGACAATGTCTCTCAACTGTTCTGTGAGCTCAAGTCCTTCCTATCACTAACTTGAGCCCAGTACGGCATCTCCGCCACTGGCTCTGTCATGTCTTTCATGTCACAGGCTGTGAAGTGTCTCAGAAAAGGCAGGTTTAGAGTATTTTTCTACTGCATTATACATGCAAGCACAATCATGTGCAAGATATTTCTTCCATGTCTGAAAACAGACAAAACAATGTCTTTTTAAGGCATTCTGACAGACAAAAGACAACTATCCTCTCTTCCTGGTTTTCCAAATGTCATTCTTCAACTGAAGACCAATCCCAAACAAAAAAAAAGTTGACTGCTAGCACTTGGCAATTAACTAGAATCTGTTTTCATGCCTCTATGCATTAACAGAGACATGACTGATTGTGTAAACTGTAACAGAGAGAGAAAAAGCATTAAAGACTGATATCCCAAAGAGAAGCCTTAGCTTCACATTTTGTCTTTAGGCAAAAGACAGAAGTGTTCATCCCAGTTCACCCAGTGCTGCTCGGTAAGCTCTGTTTTTGAAACTGTGTCACCTTACTGCTTCATAAATACCCTCCTTGAATGTTTTTAACAGCCACTCTCTGCACTACGTCTGTGACTACATCCAAAGTGAAGAGCCTCACATGATATGCTTTTTATGCCAAGGATATGGTTACATGGTATTAAGGATACTGAAAATGCTCAATAAATCTTGGGTAATCATCATTCCAGGATGACAATTATTTAATGGTACTGGAGTAGAAAGATATCCTTCTTCCACAAGTTAATAGTGGCAGTCTGTAAAACTGAGCACAGAAGTGCAAAAGATATTTATTTTCATGTATGTACAAAGTACCTATTGCAGGCCACCTCATTTTTCTTCGCAGAGAGAGAACCATGAAGCAAAGCTAAACAGATCCATTTGTCTCAGTGTCTCGAGGGACAAGAGGTAGAGCATTATTAACTGTGCTGCTTCTCTGTGGGGCTGGAGGGCTCTTGACAAAAGAGAAGACAACTGCCAAGACAACATTGAGCAATGCTCTGGGGCAAGAGCTGGGTGGTATTACCTAATGTTTCTGTGATTTTGAGTAAAATTTCAGAAATGCCAGAAATGGCTATTTTAAAAAGCAACTTAACATCTAGTTTTGCTGGCTGAAGTTGTGTTTTGAGAAGTGATTGTGGTACTCTACAGTACCTCATCCCTAGCACAGCACACAGGATCTATACATAGGGCAGTCTGAGTGAGCTTAGGTGCCTGCCAAGGGTCCCATTCTGGGATGGCCTGGAGTGCAAGTAGACGCAACATTTGATCTGACATGCAATATTGAAGCATGCAAATATTGAAGGAAAGGCTGGAAGTAAGAAATAAAATGGAAAACCTGTTCAACAAATCAATAAATGTTCTTCTCCAGTCTCCTCGTGCACCCAGTAGTGTTCACAGTGCTGTAAGCCAACAGGTCTACATGCAATTGCAGCACCTGCAGGCTTTTAGCTAACAGGTCTACATGCAATTGCAGCACCTGCAGGCTTGTAGCTAAATCTGTATCACATCTCTGCTGTGCTTCAGTTTTGCTTATGGTGCATAAGCAGATTATTGTGTCCCTCCTCTGTTTACCAAGACAGCAACACTTTTCTTTGATGCAAACAGGTCTCAGAAAAAGAAAGGTGCATCTCTGTTCTTCTGACTGCACTGTGTATTTTTTGAAGGATGTTGTGATGTCAAAACCCTGTTTAATTAAGGGCTATGAAGAACTATAAGAGTATTCAGTAAAATCTCAAGAAAGTGAGACTGCAACCCTTCCCAGCCTTCCTTCCTCTACAGACTTCACAGAAACCTCCGTTCCCTCCTCCCTGGAGATAATGTGATTATTCCACCTGTAGCACCCTGCTTGACATGTTCTCTCAATTTAACAGGGGATTATGTAAATTCACAGTTGAGCAGTTTATCCAACCAATTATGCATCATCCTTGCAATCTTCATTTCCTCTAAAATACCTCTCCTGTTCTGCTTACAGGAATGTGTGGGACCTTGCCACATAGCTTGACTTCAGTAAGATCTGCAACACTCTGCACCATGACTCCAAAAAAAATGAAGTAACAGTGAGGTTTTGCCAAATCGACCCTTCTAGGAACCAATTGTAAGTAACCCTTGTTACAGTTCTCGAGGTTCTTACCAACTGTTATTACTAAGTTCTTCCTGTATTGGGCTGGGGATGAAGATCCCTCTAACTGACCTGAGACTCACTATGTGTTCTCCTCTGCTCAAGCACTTCCCTTGGTTAAGATTGGGCAGTCTTGTGCCCAGTCTTGGGCTTGCCTGTCTCTAGGCCACTGAGACTTCCTTCATATTCCATGGATTCCTGAAGGTCATCACGTCAGCAAATGCTTCTACTTGTCCCTTACATACATAAAGTCAAATATATGACAAAATATTCTGAAAGATTTTCTCTTTTTATCCCTCCTTGTGAATATTGACATTGTATTGTGTAATTTGGTATGCAATTAAATAATCCAGGCATTTATGTGAAAAGCAGCATTTTTTAATAAAGGAATCTGAAGAAAAACTTTATTTACACTGCATCCCCCTCTGTAATTTTATCTCAGATTTTCATAGAATTGATATTCCTAACAAATCAGCCCACAAAACAAATGTTTTTCTAGGAACATAAACCAGCAAGTGCAGGCATACTTTCTGAAAGTCCAGAACCTGGTATTTTATCTTTCAGCAGGAAAATTTCTCAGGACACTCTCTTTAGAAACATGAACAGTTAGCGATCCCAATTAATTAAAAATTATATTAAGACCGATTCTTTCCAGAGTGGGATTCAGCATTTAAAATTGTCTTTAAATGCTTTAAAAACAACTTTAGCAGATTTGTATGAAGACTTAAATAAATATTTTCTAAATGGAAGCAGAAACCTTCTGCCCATTTGATTACAGTTTGAGAAGGAAAAGACATAGAGTTGACCACAGAAGACAGACATGAATGAACCTGCTTACAGAAAAAATTTTTTACTCACTTCCTCCTTCCCTCCCCCAAACAGGAGTACCTGATGCAGCAAGAAAAATAAATGAGTTTACATAAAACATTCACAGTGTGTTCAGGGTGTATGCTTTCTGAAAAGGCATTGCTCCCTGTCTGCTGTATGACACTTCCATCCAGTGTGCAGGAAAACCATGCCCAAAAAAATCCAGCCCCATGTAATGTGATTTTAAGGATATGCAGAGAGCAGCTCTGAAGATGAAGCAACAGAACCTGCTTCTAACTTTTAAATCCACCTAGATTACAAATTGCCTACCACTTCACACAGAAAATGCTGCCTTCTTAGAACCCATGACAATATGCAGTTGTTGATCCTTTGTTTAGCCTCCTTCTACTACCCTTTATTCAAAGTAGATGTATCTATGTCAGAAACTATTCTGCAGAGCTCAGTGAAGGCTAATACACTCTGATCTCTGACTCTCAGTGAGAAGGGTGAAAGACTTTGTTGCAGTGCCATTTTCTTCACTTGTTCCTTATCTGCAAAGTTCAAAGAGCCTTACTGCTTATGACTCCAAAATAAAGCTGCATGTCTGTTAATCCTGAAATATTTACATTTGATTCCTCTTTTAAAATAAGGTCTGGTACTAATCCAACACGGGAGTGAAACTTATCAAACTGATTTCAGCGCAAGTCCTCATGTATTACAAAGATAAGGCTCATTTAGGGTCCTTGCAGCATTAGACTGGTAATGAGGGAGGCAAGTAGCAAAAGCTACTGTAGTGCCCACGCAGAGCTCCAGGCTGTGCCAAAGCCAGACCCGTGATGGAGCACTGGGAAGCTGACACAAAGCCCAGCAGAGGCTGAAGGGAGCCTGCCACAGGACATGTGACTCGGCTTTTCCAGTTACTTCCTCTCAGTGCTGGTTTTAATGGGTAACAAACAGTTCCATGAAAGTAAATGTCAGAATTCCATGCCAGAAGTGACTGCTCAATGACTGACGTTATCTTTCTCTACTGCAGCACATTCTCCAGGTACCTCTGAGGAGAGCACAGGGACTTGTGCCCCTGCTTTTGATAGAGAAAGCCATAACCAGGTTCTGTATCTGACCATATAAAGCTAATGACCAAACACCTCAAAAACCAGGGGTACACTGACCAAGAGGTACCTTTAGCATGAATGGTGCATGTTTCTGCCCCTCAGTCACAGACAGGAATTTTCTGTGTGATACAGACACCCTGGCAGCTACACCCACATAGACAGACCTTTATTTTATTGACTCTGAAGTGCCCAATTCCAACTGTGAGCACTCAGTGCTTCTAATGTCAGACATCTCTGCATGACTATTATTGAAAGTGAGTATCAGACTTGTGTAAATGCTTATCATACCAAATAAAATGGCAGCAGAGTCAGGGATTTTTTTTTCTTTGCATAGTTACAGCTCTATTTTATTTTAATTGCTGTGCTGTTACATACAAAACAGAAAGGACGAAGAAACAAATTACTGACATGAAGACAAATTTTAATGTGTTCTGCATTCAATAAACATTTAATTCAACCCTCCAAATGTTTCACGTTGGCTTTTAAAAAAAGTAGAACAGTGAGAAATTATTAATTTTAAAAACTGTTTATCAAAAAAGTTTCTCCAAAACACCAACACAAAAGGTTTT